GCAGATAATATAACAGTCCATATTTCTATTCAGGAAGCCACAAACTACAGCTCATGTAATAAAGGTGCCCACCAGTGAACGGTATGATAATTTTATTAGATGAAATACACCATACTGACACGCTTTTTTAAAACACCACGCTTTTCTGTTTAAACCGTGCCGATAATGACAGATTCTTGACGGTATTTTAGAATGACTCATCACGGTTCGCTTTCCGACGCCCACAGTTTAATTTTGCGGTATGTTTCGAAATATACAATCACCGGAGGCTGGGTTCAGATCTTTCGACGAAACGTATTGAAAACTTGAGAGTTTTGGTGGTACTTCGTCAAAGCTAGTCGATTTATTAATCTATTAGTTACCTGAAGTGTAATGCATTCATCAATCAATTTTCTTTTGAAGTGATCTGGTACGAAGAAATGGCTTGGACAAAGATGTGGGTTTATAACAATTGATATGTTAACAACGGTGGTATATCGTTTATGTTTGTTCATAAAACTTTTAAATCAGTATAAAAATATTCCAAAACTTTACTTCGTGGGACCTCATATGCTAAATAGTTTTATACACACACAATTTAATGTATACAGAATGATAAGTTCGATGAAAAGTCGAAACTCTGATTTTACCCTTGAGTTTGATCCGAAAATTGTAAAAACATGTCATGAAAAGCACATTGTTTTACGAACTCACCTTAACAGGTATACATGATTTGGCCACGCGAACATTGTGTTCAAATAAATTCATGGAATTCGCGTAGAAACTATGACAAGCGTAAAGCCTCGCCCAAAATGCCTTATGATTGAATCACGTGAGTTATGAAGACCTTCCCGATAACATTTCGTGTCATTTCATACGTTTCGAAAAGCGAAAAGTACCTTAACTATAACATGATGTACTTTTGAATAATATGATAAGCAGCTTGCGTTGGAGAATGCTCCTCAACAAGTAATGAATATCCCTCTAACTTACATTTCTTCCTTTACAGATTTCACGTGTTCAAACCTCACATGTAGCGGTTGCTCATCAATGTTTCGGACATTCGGTAAAATAATATTAATACGCAAATTATAATGTGCAGTATAAACTTCTTCATTACATCTTCATCACCAAAGAATTAACGTCAGTGAAGCATTCAAAAATGTCGACTAATGTTACAATTGCCAAGTAAATGTAGCTTTCAAACGCCAGCTGCCAATTCCTCCAAAATTTGTTGGTTCGATGGTTAGATAAGAAGCATTATCTTCAAGCAAACACTTTTTAACTTGAAATAACACATATTATATGCACATCACATTATAAGTAATTGTAAGAACTTGTTCCTGTCACTCATTATGACCATTAAAATTATCCACCGACTCTCTCAGTGTATGATAACGAACTACTACATTTTTTAATCGATTTTGTAAACTACCATCATCATTTTTCTTAATGAACAGGAAGTGCACCTGTCGATCGTTTTCATTTCATTTTTGGTTAGGGGTTTGAAATTATCCCTTTCCTTGCAATTAATAGACTAATTGGTTCGGATTTTCAGTACTCCGTAATGATGGGAGAAGTTGCCAGAAATCAAGATCGAAGATTGTTGGCTTTTATAAGTCACAGGCACCTTTAATGATATTAGGTAGTTTTTTTTATCATTTGTCTGAAAATTTACAGATTATAGTTATTTGACCATGGTGCAATATAATTTTGATATTGTTTGTAGGTGACATACTGCTGGACAATGCAGTCATGTTGTCTCGAATCAAAACTGTGGTATCGTAGTGTTTGAAATATTAACTCTTATCGCGGACCGCTTGAAACGGCATGTAGACCGCGTGTATGGACAAAATGTAATGTCCCACGTTGCATCACTCTGTGGTCTAATGACTTTTACATTCAAATTGAGAAAACTATCCATATACATGTAAGGCTTAAAAAAATATATGGTTAAGACCCTATTTCAAAGTTCATTCTTTCAGTACAGAGCGATTTTTACATACCAAAAACTTAATCACCATGACGACAGTGTACGATTTCTTAAGTTAACTTTTGTTAGAAATAATAGAAAAAATTAGAAAAGAATTCCGCGGAATTTGCCTCTAGGCTAACTCTTACAATGCTGGTTTGCGTCATTCTTTCTTTGACCTTACATACTCGGTCAAATCCCGACTACAAAAGCATATATATATATGGAATAGGCATGGAGATTAGATGAAGCCCATCCATCTAGCCGTATTTCATGTTTGAAAAGGCAATTATTTATATGAATGAAACTGAGAAACACGAAAGAAAAACGGAGCGCAAGAAATGCTATTTTGGACATATTACCTCATCGATATATTTAGCGGAATGTTATGCAGACCCACCGTAGCGTACTGCAGGGGAAACCAAAAATCGGCACAGGAAAATGGTCGGTTAAGTGCAAAAATCATGAATACATTTGTAAAAGAAAAAATTGTCAAAAATTACAAACCCTTTTAAGTGAAATAAACGCAATGTCCTCGTGTATACCAAACGCATAAAGAATATTACTGAGTCAAGTTTGCGTAACACGAGAAATCATGAATTCTATGCGTCATACTCATTGGACGTGAAAAGCATTTACCGAAACCCAGCTATCTACAACTATTGACTGGAACGCGGTTAACTATTAGGTTCGTCAGAAACGGAATAGGGCTACCTACTTGGTACTCTCGCAAATCATCTTGCACTGGACAGCCAGGTACTCCACATCTCCAACCTGTGATGTCACCAAAAATTCATGTGCACGAGGGATGACAAATGTACTGGTTTAAGAACAAGTGAATGCTTAAGTTGTTCGACTTGGAATTAATTAGATAGATCTACAGTATTATATTACTTTAGGAAATCGTATGTTGCATGACGGATAAAATGATATATTTCACTTAATCCTACTAGTGGTGAGCTACTGCTTCTCGAACAGTTCTTACGTAGGTTTCAGTTTGGTGATGAAATCGTCGTCACAACAGAAGAATGCAGACGCTTATACTGACGTTTTGTCATAATTCAGGTTATCATATTCTAGAAATATATTGTATTTTTGCACAAGACTTCACCACTGAAATAAAGTCATTATGAGTATTTAGCAGGGTCCTGACGTAAAGGCGCTCTGTGATTCTTCAATCGATACAGCCTGTGGCATAACCAGATGGAAATAGAGTTTTTTTTAAAGCAACGTCATAATGGATTTTCTCATACATATATTCCAATCACTTATGCAAAACACGGAATACTCATTAATTGCGAACAGCTGGCTAAAGCCTCCCTCCTGTTGCATTGCCCTTGTCATCATTTAAACGTGCTTTTATAAGGATAGGATTTACATACAGTATTTATCTCGAGGAGAGAAAAGACGGCTTAAACATATGGCGATGGCGACCCACGGCTTCTCGTCCGGTTACCAATCCACGTCGGGTATGGTCATGAAATTAGTAATTTGTTTTAAATGCGTAGGACTTGGTGGTAGGTTGAGTCGTAACCGATCAGCGGTTTCCTGAACCACTCCATGGCGACTAGCAACCCCTCTCGCACATAATTATCCTCCATATACGGCGAACCACGGCCTCTTACCAGGGTATGGGATTAGTTAGCCAGATATTCGTTTCTGGATGCATAGACTTGATAGACGAAGCCATCCTCGTAACCGATTAGCGGTTACGTGAACCTCCCTACAGCGACGAGAAGCCCAGCAATCCTTTCGCACGTAATTATCCCCCAAAGGATTTGAACCTGTGAACCCACACCTTTTCGAGGCAAATAAACATACATACGGGGAATCGCAGGTGCGGTGGCGAGCGTATTCCTCACGCTTGGCACGATGCGCCACACCACCGTTACCGTTACAACAAACTCCAGTTTATCCTGTAGACCAGTGCTCTTCAACAGGGGTTCCGCGAGTTTATAAGGTTCCTTAGGGGTTCCGCGTTTTTTTTCAGGGGAAATCATTTCTTGCTTCAGCATGTTGATGCGTCATTATAAATATTCTTAGACCACCTTGTCTCATTCAAACTCCAAGTAGGCCAGTTCGTTAAATAGGAAGTTTAGTCACAGTGCAGTTAATAGACAAAACAGAAAAATTTTCGGTTGTTGCGTCACTTTGGTCATTGTTATGCAACTAACAAGAAAAGAACGCCATTGTCGCACCATAGTTACATGTTGTTCAGCTTTTGTTGGAATATAGTAAAAATAGTGTGAAACCCGACTTTTCAATATTTTCAAAAAACACAGAAAGGAATATTTTTAGATTTCTCTCCACAAAGAGGTTACAGCAATTGCAAAAGAAGCATTAAAACTTCTGTGTCAATTTCCCAATACCTATTTGTGTGAATCAGCACTATTAAAAACAAAAAAGAATATGTTTAAAGGGTGTAGACTTCAGTATGAGAATTGAGCGCCGTGGAGCCACGATTCAAGAAGATTGCAAAGGAAATGCAAGAACTACCTAGTCATTGAATTTCACGTTTGTTACCTACTTTCTGTTTCGTTGTTGAAGTAGAAATATTTGAATTACAAATATTTCGTCTTACGAGTATTTCGTGTTTTTTTTCCATTTTGTTAATTGGGGTTCCATAAAAAACGAAAAATTATATCATCTGTAAATCATTGGCAAAATATGTTACTTGAGCACATAACCATGTCAAAACATGAATATTGATGCGTTTCTAAAGGTATTGAAGCCCCGAAAATATGGTAATGACACTCATTATTGTCTTGACATGTCGTAATAGAAAATACGAGAATATCGGTTGGAGACCGAAGACTTATCGATCGAAACTGCGGTTTCGATTCATGACTCTATAGTGACACCGCGTTTCCCATCACTAATTAATAACTCGCTAATTATACGACATAATTCATCCAAAATCTATAGGCTTCTGGTCCGAGATATGATGAATGCACATGCAAAATGGAGCAGATTCAACCTCGCCTTCGTGAGATATCGCGTTCATCTAACAGACAAATACCTATCAACATACTTACCGATCTTAAGATCGATAAGTAACAACCAGACGGAAAACTCCTTACTGGTATAAATTGGCGAATTGTCCGTCAGCCAACATGAAAAACAACATATCAGCGGTAATTCGCGATCTCAATCACCAACTGCGGAACAGAATGGAATGAATATTCAAAACAATGTGTCAATTTTATATTTCAATAGAGACTACTTCTGTTTGTTGTGAACGAGATATCTTGAAACAAGCAATGTAAATAATGACTCCACAAAAACGCTCGTGGAATGTTCATTTATTGGTCTTAAAAATGTTCACGCAATATGTTGATTTTTGTTGAACACAGTGGATAATTAGATCTATCAAAACTCGTTTGGCAAAAAATACTAATACAATTTAGCATTTGTACTCTGTTTTACGTCGACACACCAGCGAAGGATTCAAAAATATGCCATATTCTTCAACTTTTCCCATTCATATGTGTATATGCGAAATCTAAAATCATTAAAGAATGATCCACATTATAAACAATTGATAGAATTCTGCAAGTTATACTTAACTGGGAAAGTAACAATTAAATCAATTAATCAATCACTATTACCTCTTTATCTGGTCCTCTGCCATCCAGCTGGTCGCAGTGGATCATACCATTGATTCAAGTACTCAAATCTTTCATTTCAAAGACACCAAGACAATACTATCACCTCTGACAAAAAGATTATCCAGGTGCCGATGATAAAGCTGTGGTGTTCCCCCGTGAAAAACTTCAGGCTTAAAATAATCCTTTCCAACAACTTTGATTTTCGTTTCACTGCTTGAAGGGAGCTCTGTGCTTGGCTTCTTTTTATCAGAAGCTGTTGCAACAATTTGTACACCAGTTGTTGCTCTATGTTGCACAGTTTTCTTGAATTGTGTTACTTCGGAACTGGTGTTGCCTTCGAAAAATACATACATGAAAATGTGTAACATAATTCATACACATGAAAAATTTATACAGCCATCATTTTTTCACACATACAATATGATGGGTACAAAGTTTCATTATCTGAAAGTATATGACTTCATACAAAACTTCGAATCATGACAAAAACACTTAAAAATGACAGGTTTTCGAAAATACCCCAAAGTTTAAAATACCGAAATGGAAAATGAAATTTTCAAAGTCTAATCTTATATGTATAAGTTTAATTTGACTCCATAATCAGCAGAACAGACAATAAAATAATGGATAAGAGCAAAACAAAATAACTGATAACGGAATCAGTAGAACAAACAAAACCTTAATGATGTTTAAGATTTTAAAAATAGTTTTAACATACCCAGACTTATATTCTTCATAGCATCCATTAGCTGTAAGGAACATATATATTAAAATTTAATAGCAATTATAAACACAAGGATTTTAATTACATTTTTTGGTACATACCAGAGGATGCATAATATGACACTGTAATATGAACATTGAAATGACAAACTTGAAATAGAATATTCATTTCAACAGTTCTGCTGTTACTCATGTTTGGGATGGAGGTACCAATTAATAATTATTTGAACAGGTAGGCCTACTACACTCAAGCAAATAAGAATACTTACTGAAGCAACAGTAAGTTGTTTTTGATGATCAGCAACTTTTCCCAAAGGTGGTTTTCGGAAAGTTTCATCAACATCAACCATCGCCTGAGTGCATGGAACAGAGTGGTATTATTTGGGTGCTCATGAGGTATGCGTACCAAGATAGCGGACACTGGAACGTAGTATGTATACCAGATTAGTGTTAGGCCATATTTTTTTTCCAATTTTCCTTATTTTAGTTCTATTAGAAGTTCGGGGAATAGCCAAGTGACTCCCGTAGTATTTGTACCTAAAATTATGGCCTAACCCTAACCTGGTACACATACTATGTTCCGGTGTCTTACTTCAGGAGCGCCATTATTTGTTATAAGGATTTTGAAAGCTAATTCCATCTTAGAAAAATACTTAACACATCAGCATAACTGTGTGATAAATAAGTGTTGTCAACTGAGATCCCATCACTAAAAGGATATCCTATATACCAGTGACAGGTGTATACTCAAACTTGAAGTTAGATTACCGTTTGTTATTGAAAACTCCTTCCATCAGGTTTTCTGTCAACTTATTTGAGGCATAATTTGTTATGTGTCAAATGGTAAAATTGTAAATATTTTTAGGTTAATTCCTGTAATATACTTATTACCACAGTCGAATATGTGAAAAAATCTTCTCAGGTGTGCCATGTGTCTATGAGAAAAGGGGGAAATATTTCTATCAAATAATTAAATGGGGCATGATACATTTATGATTTTAGAAAAAATGTTTTAATTACCAAATTAGTGAATCGATCAAATGCAACCACATATCCACTGCAAACACCTCGCAGTCCACAAAAATCTCGAACATAAACATTACATCTCAAATGCTCTCTTACAATCCGATGTATTAGACTGTATGGGCCTTCACTCAGCTCTGAAAACAATTCCCTTCGGTAATTTGGCGTCATAAAAATTGATATGCACACACATAGATGAATAAATAAAACATTTTTTAAATACCAGTAATATTTTACAAAATAACAACAAAAAATAATCGTCGGGTGTGGACGTGTCTGCGAGTATGCTACGTGCTGTATGTTTTTGTATTTGTATCGCGTAATATCAACATGGGCAACATCCACCGGAATTAAAGAAGTTTATGGATAAAAGATTGGATTTGAAGTTAAATAAATGGTGGACAATCTGTTATGGATTTATTGCGAGGTTTCGATCCTTTTATGAATCTAGTTGTGGATGATGGAACAGAGCGCAGAAAAGATGAGACCACTGCACCTGTTGGAATGGTGGTCGTTTGTAGAAATTCAATATTAATGTTGGAAGCATTGGAACAGATACAATGACTTTGAATTGAACTAATCGAAAACGACGAAAAAACCCGATACCCCAATCCATGATTTGTGCATAGACTGCTATGGAACATTCAATCTATTTACAGAGCCTGTTTTTTAGTAAAAATTTTTGTGTTACTGTGTTATTTTTGCAATAAAATTGAACTAGGCCTACAGCTTCACCATTTTACGACAGCGAGTGTTTTCTATTCCATAGTTTTGTAGGAAAAGCACTGCTGTGTTACACATACACGTCTCACATTTTAAATTAAGTTTGAAAGTATTGCCCGATTTTATATCGTGTTTTTGTTTTATTGTGTTTTGACTGTTTTTGGTGGACGGGCATGTACTTGTACGTTTTTAACTTTTCTATTAAGACATGCCCGTCTCCAGGTCCTCTGTATTTTGTTTGTTCGTTTCTTGTTGTTTTGTGTTTTGTTTCTATCAGAGTGACCAAATAAAATTGATTGATTGAACATATAAAGAAAAGTGTTACACACGAATTGGACTTTGACAGAGTGAGGAGAATAGATGCAAAATATCATACTTTCCATTGAAGTAAAAAGTGTTTTTCTTGTTCGAGTTCTTTGAGATCTAACTTTTTTCTCTGGTTTTTCATCCCTGACAAATTAAAATTTTACTTGATTAAATTCAATCAACTGCTGGAGACTGCATGAGACATTCCATATGGAAAATGCTTCAAAATACACTTGAACTGGTGTAAAATGGAGAAAATGGAGTCTCAGAATCAGATATTCTTGAGCTGGTTGAATGATGAGACTACTTGACTAATACAAGCGAATTTGATAGAATATTGTATATGCTACTCACTCAGGTTTTTCCCCTCTATCAATCTTTTTCCTCATTTCCATAAATTCTTTTAATTTTCCGAGATCTCTGTTCCTCGCTTCTTCTTCCATTCTCTTTCTTTGTGAAAAACTTTTTTGACTTCTTTTCGAGGATCCTGGTGCATTTTTCTGCACAAAAGAAATATGCGATAAAGAAAAAATAATAACAATTCAATTGCAAAACCGAGATACGTGACAAAATTGGACTCTGTGAACAATACCAATTTTTAATATTATTATCACTTTACAATGTCTATAGTGCCTATATTGAACGATTATATCATATTTCCTAATACAATTAGTAGTAACAGAAGCGTAGGATCAGGCCCGTTTCAACTTGAAACATATCGTAAAAAAATGATAGTAGCACACTTTATTCGTATACACTTCATCACACTAATACAATATTACATTTGAGGAATATAGAATTATTTTAAAGAATAAATTCACAACAAAATACTTTCTTAATCACATATCGGACAGTCCAGTATGTTCAGAAGGGTTTGAAATCATATCAAATTGATATATAAACAAAGGGTGAACATTTAAAACTTAAATGGATTGTGTTTGAATGCATTATACGATGTCTCTAATTGTTCACTGTAGATAATATACTATATTTCAAAATAAACCTATAATATGATGCTTTATAAGCATGTTTAGCAAAACTAAAACTTGTGAAAGATTAAGACTAAGTTCGATGAAAGCAAAAACAACAAATGAAATGAGGAATCTGAAAAGCGAAATATTATATGTATCAAGTAAAATCCGAGTGTGCTAATATCTAAACACAAATTTACCGTTTTCTCTGAATGTTGCTGCCTTTTCAAGCTACCTTCAAACATTGCAATATTATCGAAAACCTTGACATCGCTGGTCTGTGGTTCATTATCACTTGAATATAGAGCCAACAAGGGATCGAAGTCTGATGAAGTAGGGTCAGTGCTCATCTTTGATGCAGACCTAGTCCATATGCCTCGAGAAGAAGATAAAATATAAACAGCTACAAGATCTATGAACACCACTAGTCTGCTAGTAGTCAATCCAGATGACCAATATAAGTTTTAAAAGTGTTCAATTACTGGTACTGTTTTTTAAATTAGTTCATCTCACTGTAAATCGAAATTGAGTAAATTTTTTTTACCCCTTTCTTACCAAAGATAAGTAAATAATCATATATCTTAATCGGTGACCGTACATTTGAACCCATGTACATTTGAACCCATGCGTATATCCACGGGTTCAATCTATATGCGGGTGCTAAAACCCATGGGTTAGTATAGGTTTAACTATCCGTGAAACAAAAAAAATTCCATAGGTGCAATAGTTTGCAGGTGCAATTGTCATGGGTTCAAATGTACGTGGGTTCAAATGTAATGGAACCATGTTAATCATCAGATCTCACTTAAACAGGCGTTACCTGATCACCCATTACTTTATTAAACCTTTATAGGTTAGTTGAATCTGACACTAATAGCAACTTTATACTTTCGTCTAGGCTTTTAAGAGGTAAGTGAAAATGCCAAAAACGTAATTTTGTGATTGTCATACAGTCATAAGAGGAATGACGAATGTCCTACCGTGTTTCCCCGAATACAAGACCTAGCCTGAATTTTGGAAATGATTTTAATATAAGCCCTCCCCTTAAAATAAAACCTAAATAAAGCGATTTTTTTTTTACCTAGTTGATATCAAGAAATCTCTTCTACACGTTTAAATGATTGATAATCTATTTTTTGCAGTTGTTTTGAATAAAAACGTGTTATTTATAAGTAAATGGATATCGGTTTTCATATTTTGTATATTTGAAAACCCCATAATTTATTACATTGTAATTTTGTTTTTGATAAATGAAAATATAAGACATCCCCATACACCATACTGGTACTTATATAATTGTTTTTTTACATCAGGAGGGTTTCGCTGCGTTGAAGGTATTTATTGATATTGGTGAATGCACTTGGAGGTAATCCTGAATATGTCAAGTTTATATGTTTCAGATGCTTAGAAGCTGTTGACCTCATTCACTCTTTGTTAAACTGTTTTGTTTGCCTGTTTCTGAATTGTCTTGCCTCATGTTAGAGGAGCCAAAGTACTACATATTATGTTCTAAGTATAATTTTAGTGATTTAGTGTTAATTTTAGTGATTTATAACCTCCCTGCGCATATTATAATAGAAAGGGCTAATCAAAGCTAGATCCTAATCCTTATCTATCACACCAATGACATTAAACAACATGATGCGCAACTCCGGCATTTTTGTCCGAAGATCGTATTCGATAGCACGCTCCAATGCACATACTTGACGAGACGAAAACGAGCGGATGTGTGCTGCTTTCAAGGCGTAGCACGAATGGTGTTCGTGCCTGCTTTGACAGTTGTTGTCGATTTTAATGATATTTTTGAAAGTTGGGGTAAAAAGAAATCGGTAAAAGGTAAGGTGAATACTATTGTTGTATATCACACCCGGGCATCGCACTGTTAAGTACATGTGGGAAAGCCAGCCTTTGTCAAATACTACGAAGTTATTAAATCAGTACGGTACGTAGTTGCCCATTTGCCGAAATTACATATTTACTTACCCCTTATGGTTTCAAATAGTTCATGCACCTCCAGTTAGATTTTTTCAATCAGTGAGGATATATACTCATTGTTGATTGCTGCTCATTGTAACATAACAAGTTCACCTAACATTTCACTCATACCGGTCTATATTGTATAGTCTGATTTCTCAAGTATTTGGAGCCACGAATGCTTGTAATTTTCTGACTAAACCCTTTTATTAGTTGGTTTATATACCAAATTCAGTAAAATATTTTTTAAATAAAACATGAGATATTGGATTTATTAGCTTTTCCATTCTGAATCATATAGACTGCTTTATTTATTCTTAACGAAAATTAATAAATCTCCTCTCTTTCTTCAGATGTGAAAGTTGTGGACAAACCTGTCTAAGCATTGTGAGACTCTTGCAGCACAAGAGGCAATAGCAGAAATAGTAAGTATATCAATCAAGAAATTAAGCCGACATAAGGCAAAACTTTCAACTATTCGTCTAATCTCAATTTCCTATTATTTATTCACAGGACAACTATAGCAGACGGGGAGATATCAGAAGTCTGGCGACATATCAGTGACAGTGTGATTCCAAGAAATATAATGCATTTGAAAATAGAAAATTGCAATAGAAAAACAACCTATGGAGGCATGCAAAGACATTTGACCCTCCGGTAGAGTTGTGTATGGCCCCCACATCCTGCAGGGCTTGAGGAAAATAACTAAAAATTCCAAAGCGTAAGATTGCATAAGCGGTCTTATTTGTAAAAAGGCACAAAACACGCCAGACATACTTAAAACAGCTTTGGAAATGAGGATTACGGGTACCTCACTGCACCTGTGTTATATTTGGTTCATCAACTTTTGGTAGTACTATAGAAGAAATTCCGGAAGGGGTATAATCATCATTCATGATAAAATACTATCATATATTTTTTGAACAACTTCAATCTAGACCAGGGATCTCAAACTCGCGGCCCTCGAACGCTTAACAATAATTGTAATAGTATTTTGGAAGTTTTTTTTTTATCTAAATGTAATAGATTTTTCAAACCTTCTAAAGTGAAATTGATTATTCACACAGAAAACAATTTACTGAAAGTAGTTTTGGAATATTGATTTTTTTTGTCCACATTTTGACCCTATTAAGAATACACATCAAGCTAGCAAAAGAATACTTGAATAAAACACTTGAGTAATTAAATTAAACGCAAAGTACATGAAGAAGGTGGCATTTTCGAAGAAAATGGGAGTTGTAACATTTCTGCTCTTCACAAAATTCTGAAGCACATTGTTTAATTTGTCATATTTCCATCAATACAATCAAAAAACACAACAAGCTCAGCAGTCAATATGACAAATTCGAAGACCAACTTCGAACAGAAAATTTCCATGTGTTTGTATATTAATATAATTATACAACGACTTAGTTACTAAAAATCAATATCAATAATAATTCAAGCAATCCTATGCCACGCAATGTAGTGCGAAATGTCTTGTCGAAAAAATCTGTCATTTGTTTTTTTACTGATCTATACATGAAATGATAAAAGTAACTTTTTTGCATTACTGGAATTAATTAGACATTCGTAAAGATCCAGATAAACCCATGATCATGTGGCCTCGTTAGTTAGAGTTGGTACTATAAAATCATTTCATTGTTTAATGTCATTGATCACACAAAGTGCGAGCGCGGTTAACTTTTGTGATCATTTTTTGGGGAATCCCGGAGTCACGTGATAGCCCATTTTCGTTTTTGGATTTTATAAAATAAAAACATGGATATAAATAGTAGTGTATCAGGATTTTACCATTTTTTATTGCTATATATTTCTCATTGTTTCGAATATCAGAAATAAATTTATAAAAAACATCAGGGACTGGTTTAAGCTTTTGAATCCGGCGATTCCAGATCCTGGCGGATCGAATATGATTTCGAAATTAATAATAAAGACATAACAGGCCCCCATTCTCTACAATAACAACTTATGTATGTATTAGCAGTATATCATCACTTCGACTCGATTGAATTCGATATTGTATATTTATTACAAAATTTTTAGGGATTTCGTAAACACTACACACAAAACAAGTGATACAGGCGCGGGTAATTATTTAGTATATCATTCCATTTATGGTCTGAAGTTCCTTTTGTGACCACATGCGATTCCGGCGGCCGCCCCTGATTGACAAATACACTGGTAGGTATGCGCGTAAGTTGAAGTAAATTTCCTGTCGTTTTTCACAATCAGTATCACACAACAACTATGATCTGTTTAATGCGAGGATTGGCCTTTTCAACCATTATCAATTCGGTGCGGACCATCATTTTTTTGAATTTTCTATAAATAATCTAATATTTAACATTAAACAAGGGCCCGGAAATTTAAATGGAGTCTGGAGGCGATGACTATAAAATTTTCAAGATACCTATATGTCGTCTTGCGCAGAGATTTTGTCCACATGAACTGGATGCATACTCTCATCACCCAATCGTAGTACTCATTACATAGTAATTGCAAAAAATATAATAGAAGATTGATGATACTTTTTAATATAATAATAATAAGCTATAAATACTTGTGCAAATAGTAGAAATGATCATACACAATAATACTACAAGTGAATTTTCCCTCGATAGTCACGCTCAAGTCAATTGAGCAGGTCAGTTTTTGAAAGAAATATAACAACATAAATATTTTAAATGACGGTCATTGAATCAATCAAATATTCATAACATTATTACTTCAGTCACACAAATTATTTAAAAATATGAGCGTTTTGTCTGTATGTACTTAATGCTAATGCTTAAGTATTAATGCTTAATGCTTTGGCAAATTCACTCGTAATCCTGGCGCATGTATTTAATATGTTATTTATGAAAATAAGTATAAATGAGATTTTTACCTAAACAAACAAAAGAAATTGAATGTGTATTGAAAATTGAAATATAAACATGATAATATAAAAATAAATATACTGCTTATCTAACTGAGCCTCAAAGATGAAGAAGTGAAAAATAAGCTGGTATTTAGCTATGTACAAGATCATTTTCTTTCCAACTTGAATCATAACAAGTAGTTAACAAATCTTGCATAGTCTCAGAGCAACCATGGACTAATTTAGTAGGATATGCTGTTAATGTAAGTGACAGCATCTCTCCATAATTTCTGAAACTTTTGTGCTACAGATTTTCCAGTTTCTGCAGAGCCAGTTTCTTTTTTAGCCTTATTGATGCAAGCAGTAAATTCTGATTTTGTGAGTCCAGAAATAACACCAAGTTTGCAAAGTAAGAAAGTCTCTGAATCTTTAGATATATCAGATAATGTTTTCGATGTTGATTTGTCAAGATTCATTCTTTCGATCAAAGCTTGCTGTGAGCTTTCATTCTCTACTGAATCAGCAGCTCTAAGAACTTGATATTGTAGTAATATTTGCTCGAGAAGAGGTTGGATATCAAATGCCATACTACTGGATGACGGTGAATGTTGTGCAATCCGCTGTGCTTTGATCTTTAAACGTCCTTGTCTTTTTAAGTGTGTGGCTCTAACATCTCCTTCAACCATTGAAGTAGCCATATCATGTCTGTTAATTTCTTCTTGTATTACTCTTGCTACTTCATCAACATGATCTTGAGTAATGGTAGCACTATTTAACAATGTGTTCTTCTTTGTAATACCTTCAATGATGTTATGCTTTGCTGAGTCAAAAATAAAAGTTTCGTCTTGCTTTGATAGCTGCTCATGAATCAAGTTTGACACGAGCTTGTGAGATATTATTTTACACATTTCTTCACTAGATATAGTTAATATTGACTTTATACATGTAACAGATGCTGTTTCTTTTATATAATTACGCATCATGTTTCGTTCATTCCATAAACGTTCAATGATTTCGAGAACTTCCTTCATATTTTCATTCACTAGGCTTGTACTTTTCTTCATTAGTAAGAATGCTTGACACTTTGCTAGGTCATTTTCAATTATGTGAAACCACTTAGCTCGCAATAAGTTTATTTGATTAATCAACAACAAGAATAAACTCTCTCGCTCTTGTATAATAGCGTGCCCATCTTCATTTGACAACGAGATTTGGACAGACAAAAATCTTTCTAAATCTAATAGGTCATCTGTTACAGCATCTTGTAAGATACTAGCGTCAACACAATTTTCTTCTTCTTGTTCCAACATGCAGTGACTGTCATAACGTTTCCATAATTCTGTTATATTTCGCTTGCACAATCCTAATACTTTATCACGAGAGGCCTCTAATCTTTTTCTGAACTCATTCGTCATTTGATGAAGTTCAGATTCACTTAAGGCATCACTTTCCTCAAGAAGTTTACAGAATGTTAGAAGAATATCATTCCTTTTTTCGTCTTGTAATTCGGATAGCTTGGCAAATTTGTTTGCAATTCCTGAGTTATCATTCTTGGCCAGTTCCTTGAGAAGCATCAGTCTTCTGAGTTTCTGCTCACAGGTAGTTGACAAATAATTTCCAACAAAACCTTCAGAACTTGTTTGGTTTGTGTAACTGTATAGAATATTTTCAATAGCTGTATTACTGCTGTCTTCATGTTGTTGCAAGCTTGTTTCATAATGAGCAAGGATGTTTGGATGCATTTGTGAAAATACCTCTTTTACTTCTAATGCACTAACATTGAAGTCATCGGGAAGAGAATCTTTAACTTTTTCCTTTGTTACTGATGAAATACGGCCTGTTTTTACAAGCTTTTCAAGAGAATTGTTGCAAGTCATGCTCAATAGTCTATTTAATTCACATTCACATATTAGAGCAACTACCAATTCACGAACTATGGTGCCAAATTCCTGAAAAAGTGCATGGATTGATTCTATAACTTCGTCTTGATTTTCTCTAAAATTTCCTTCTATTTCATCAATATAAATCATCAAATTGTATTGAATCTCATCTGTACTTGTTTTATCAACATAGTGAGATAAACTTTTCACAAATCGTTTTGGGCTTTCTCGATAAATGATAACCATATTTTTTATGATGTTGGTATATCCTTCTTGAAGTGGGATAAAAGGATCCATCAATGACTGTCCTTGAAAATCATCCATTTGATTAATATGAGACTCGTAATCAGATTTCATCTTCGAATAAGCATTCGACAAAGCCCTATTTTCGATCATTAGAATATCTTGATATTGTGAATCATTTATATATTTTCTTACAAGAAAATCATTGAGCATACAACGATACCATTGCAGTAAACAAGTATGCCTCTCTTCCCATAAAGATAATTCCAACTGCATAATTTCGAAAAGTTCTTGTTTTCCAAGTTCAAGAACCATTTTGTCCCAAGTCATATCAGAAACAAAGTCGTCAAGAACGAAAAATTTCTTGCGGTGAATTGTTTTCTCATCATAGCTATCTCTCTTTGACATAGCTTTGGGTTTCTTAGCAATTGCATTCGCAGTCATGTTTTCGTAAACCAATGAAGTTTCTTGCTGTTCTGTATGTATTTTATCTGAAGCTTCCACACTAACAGTATGATGGGAATGAATTCCAAGTTTCTTCGATAAAAAGCATTTGAAGACAATCACACCAATGATGGCACCAACAATGACACCTACGGTTCCGCTGACAATTAAAGCGACTTCATCAACAGTTTGAACAACTTGTTCTTCTTCAACAACTATGTTCAAACAGCTTGACATGATGCTGAGTATAGTTTTGTTTGTTATTTTAAGCAACTGAACAAAAATAATGAATATTTTAATTCAATGTATTACATTTTACAATCATATAAATCCTTGGTTGTTGAAACGAGGAAATAGCTATGATATATACTAAAAATCATCAGATAGAATATTTAACATCTGATATAAAATAGTTGACATTAAATGTCCAAATTATAACTTGTGTCATAATTGTTAAAACGAAATTTCAAGGTTGGGAAAAAATAGAACACGAGTCAAATCTAATGCAACACCATACTGCCATAATCGCATGTGTACTGGAAAAGTTGATTGTCAGCATAATCTCACTGTAAAAAAGCAAGTGAAAAATAGTCGACAGCTGCCTTCAACCACATTCAGACATACTGTTATTCTTTGCTACTGGTACGGTTGGTTCTGACTTTTGAGACTGCAATTGAACATATCCAAGAATACATAGAATAGGATTTACATATTTATCCCGGGGGAGAGGAAAGGCAATAAGACGGCTTAACAATGTGGTGAACGACGGCCTCTCGTCCGGTTACCATTCCAAGTCGGGTATGGGATTAGTTAGTTATTTGTTTTTGGAAGCATGGACTTGATGGTGGAGGAAGCCGTAACCGATCAGAGGTTACGTGAACCACCCAACGGCGGCGAGGAATGCAGCAATCTTCTTGCACATAACCATCCCTGCATGGAATCTTGCACATAACCATCCCTGTATGGGATTCGAACCTGCGAACCCACGCAGAGGTGCAGTGGCAGCTTATTCCTAACGCTTAGCACGATGAGCCACACCGCCGCGCCACGTATTAGCTATAGGCTAGTAGCAGTACTCAACTTAGATCAGTAGGTTAGAACTTTTTTAAATTCATGTCTCCAACTTCTGAACTACAACTAGTCTCACAAATATTACCTGATCAAAACATAATTTAGCAACAAGGTGACTAGTCACTTTCATTGTTGTACGGATTTGTCTATACTGCATACCTGCTATGCTTTAAACAGAAAAGTGGTAAGTAAACATATCTAACACTGTACAGTCATTCATTTGTTTACTATCACTATATGAGCGTTTCGTTACCATAGCGATATGTGACAAGAGGGCGCGAATGAGTTAATAACGCCGACGGCGCATTTTGTCTCTGAACAATTATTTTTGAACTACCTTGTCTTTTCATTATAATTTATAACGAATGCAATGGAGCATACACAAATAAAAATAAAAGACGGTACGCCCGTAGTGTGTGTAACAATGTTAGGCCATAATTTGATTTCAGTTTTATTACCAGTTCGGGGACTGTCTGTGTTAGCCAAGTGAATATACCCCGTGCTTCCGTCCCTTTACACAACTCGGTGTGAAGTAGGCAAATGAAATATTCACCTCCATATTGGTACACACACTTTTGAAGCGTCAAAAATACAGCCAGCCAACAAAAAGATACAGATCAACAAGATGTTGGTGGAAAATCTATGATGGGTCATTCACGTTTTTTGCACCACTCGCTGTCAGAAAATGTTACACACACCTAACTGGAGCATTGCAAATCGATCTCTTACACAAAGCCAAATCTTTGGACTATGGAAATAAACTGGAGCCTCTCATAAATACTGTTTTTGACAAGCGCTCCTACAGAATGAGAGAGTTTCCATAGAGTTCGCCGGTGATCTATTGGTACATTCGAGTATGATAAGAATTCCTATTTATCATTGTAAAAATTTGATGATTCAACCTACTATAAGCAACTCGTGTAAAACTAGGTGTTTTAAGACTATATGTTTTTCTTTCTGTATCCAACTATATTGAAACTAATCGACTCGTAAGTAGTACTTTATTGACATGTTAATTTAAGCAATAACAAATTATTGGTAAAGACTGAAAATTATAATTTGGGGCAAAATAGTACAAAGGAATATTACAAATTCACTTAATCTCTGAAATTTAATTATCACTTTACACGTCTTATCAAAGACGGTAGCAAAACATAAGGCAATAATAGCAAGCTTTTTCTAAGCAACAATGAAACACTGAATTATCAAATTATTAATCAAAAACCATCAAAAAAGTAAGAATATAAAAATAGAAGTAAAAATGACGAGTATATAATTTCTAGCATAAATCTGCTAATCTTAATAAAAATGCAAAAGGCTACTTCAAAAGATGACAAAGAAATAAAATAAGCCCGACTTAGTACGTAGATCAAGCATAAAAAAATTGGAATGCCAAAACCAGATACACCACGCAAGGTAGGCAACAATGATAAATTACATTAAAGAGATACAATCTCTTAATTATCAAAATAATGATAAAATCCTTGCTAATAATAGAAATCAAAGTATTCCAGATGATAAAAATCCATTGACAAGCTGTTTTAGTAATAATGATAACTAATAAGGATAGTCGCCATTTACTATTCACTAACACTGTTCAACTAGGATTTAGATTTTGTATTTAGCATTCTTCTGCTGCTATTAACAAAATTTGGATGTATGCACTCAGGTCACTGTATTGGTTCAAACATTTAACTAAGTGTTTTTCACTTTCAGCATACAAACATGATTGAACATTTGAAAGAAGTATGCATAAAAACAAATGTACCGGTAATTGTTACGGAAATTTTCAAGATAATAACATTTCAAGTAAAAGGCGACACCATGCTAGTACAAACATTTTAATCAAAATCGAATGAAAGTCAAGAAATTTAGGTAGTATATGATTATGATGTAAAATGATCCAGTTACTATATCACTTATCTCTGAATAAATGAAAACTAAATGCAAATAAATGAAAGTGGCAGAGGCTTAGTCTTCGATCACCAATGCTACATAGGTGGAGGAGGAGCTTGTCTCTTCACTGCTGCATTTGGTGCTAATTGCCTTTGTGTTGGATGAATGTTGTGATATTTGAAATAAGCTTGGACTTGTCCTGGAACTTCTGCCAAAACAGCTTTTGCCAACAACTCAGGAGGCGACTGAAAAAAAAGGATGTTTGCTATGTTATTAATAAATAAACAACAGATGTCAGATTGAACTAACACTGCAGAAAATCCAAAAATAGCTGCCAAGTATAAATAGCTCAATAGCAACCAAATATACAAACTAAATTTGCTAACCGACTTAGTATGCTAAAAGAGCAGAAGTGGGCAAAGTACGGCCCCGCTGGGTAAATCAATCTGGCCCGCCTGATGCTGCCACAACCAAACTGAAATCAAATTTGAAAGTTTTAGTCAAAAATATCTTAAGGAATTTGTTGAGATTGCGGTCAAATTTAGTTTTTGCACGAGGCTTATTGTTTCCCACCTTTTCTTTGTAACGCTGTAAATATTGTTCATAAAATGTAACTTTTTATTTCACACTTACATGGCTCGCCAGATTAGGGGGGCACATTTTTGGCCCCTGTTTCAAAAACCTTGCCCACCCCTGTAATAGAGAAAACTGCATAACATAACAAAAGGAGCAAATTCCTAAAAACTAAATCAACGGATTGCTAATTTTGAAATAAATTAGCAAAAGCTGTACAAAACACAAAGAATTTAAGTAAGAATGAATGTTTGATTGTGCTGCGAAATCGAAATTATATAAGAGGAACTTTGGCCAATTCTGCCAAAAAATGTTCGCATCTTCAAGAGTAAATTTCTCTCCTGATATCACCAATATATAAATAGCTTGCATTTTCTTTGTGAAAACAAGTGTTCCATTAACTTTTGTATTTGAGAATATTGCACACAATTGTCGTTTCAGTGAATGGGTTGAATTTTGCACACATATAATTATAAGATATTAACTCACCACCATGCAAAATATGGTACTAATTTGAATAGAAATATAAACAATTATATTTTAATCAAACTTTGAACAAAATGTGGGCCGTTGTGTGTCATTTTCGTTAAGTTGTTAGGCCTACGCTGATAAAATTTCCGAATTATTATTATTACACCGAATGTAAAAAAAAGAAATTGTAATTTCCATCATTCATTGTTTATTGTTTTTTCTGGATCTGTGGACCAATGTTTTAATCTAAATTTATTTGTTTAATAAATAAAAACACTCGATTGGAATAATTTGGTTAAATAAATAGTTCATGTATACATATTTGTGCTTTGTTTTCTTTGGTTAATGAAGGTGACCATGAAATGATAAACCAACAAGGATTATTAGTTCCTATCATCATAATAAAACAGATGAATTTAAATCCAATGTGCAGTGCAATTCAACAAAACCGTGCCTCATTAAAATGAATGAGAATGTAACAATTAGGTTAGCACCAATGAGCATTCCAATGCACAAACAAAGGCAGGCAGAATTTACCCAGTCCTATAAGTTTTTTTTATGTGGCATAGGCCGGTGGTGGACCACTAGGCCCAGTAGTGGCTGACAATTCGGGCTTGATGCTTCGTTTTCTGAAGTAACCGACAACTTGATCCGGTAATTCAGCCAAAACACACTTTGCCAATTCATGAGGAGGAGCCTACATTAGTGTTTAGTGAAATTTATATTTGGTCAAAGCCTATAATATAGCCTACACTTACCCACCTTAAAAATAGAATATCATAAAAGAAAATTTAAAGAATCTAAAAAAGAACATGATTCAAATAATCGCACCATGCAAATATCCAGCATTAGGTTATGCGGGTAGTCCGAATACTTTATGAACTTATGAATAATTTTTGAATAAATGATGTTAATTTAAATAAAGACGTAGAGTAAATTATTCCTCTGTATCAGCGTTTAAATGATTTGATCAAAATAAAATTAACATTTTATACTGTTAAACTTAGTATTGATTTGTAATTTGTACTCAATTTATAGGAAGTAGAAATATTTTGAGAAATCTTTTAAAGCAGGGGTGTGCAACCAAAGTCCCGCAGGCCAAATGCGGCCCACAAGAAAAAATTGTGTGGCCCGCGGAAAGTGCCAATTTTAAATGGTGTGGGGCCCACGAAACGAGTTTTTAATTTAGTTCAATCTGGTATGTGCGAGTAATTTCAATCTCTTTGCTGAAGCCTATACAGGAGTCCAATTTATTATCTATGCCTATGACATTACAATTCCCTTACAGCTAGCTTTTGCAAAGCGAAAAACACATGTCATAAGATCAATAACCAAAATTTTAGAGACTGCAATCACTAGAAAAGCTATGGTAAATACAGATGCGACCCGCGGTTTCACCCAGTTATTTCTATCTTGCCCTACTGTATTAAAGGTTACACACCCCTGCTTTGAGTAATACTTTTAAAGTCTATTCATTCTTTCCTCAGTTTAAACCGTGTAATCAGGTGTTCCTCAACTTGCCTACAAGGCACAAGTGCTTTAATATATTTATAACATCCTAATATATGGGTGCCGAAAGTTTGGTTTAATTATTTGGAAGACTGAACTATGAAATACCAACATTTTAATGGGAATACCTGTTTAATCACGACTAATGATGGCGATTGTACAAGCTTGATAACAACCCATTGCACAAATATAGCCTAATTTTGAAAATTCAACCAAAATGTAAATAGGACAGGCAAATTCATGTGCCTTTTAAAACATAATTACCATATAAAACATAATCAACCAATCATGCACATGCAAGAACTCACATTATTGAAATCTCTGAAAGGCACAAACTGTACAATATCTCGCGCACAAGGCTGACCACGTCTTGACATCAATCTAACTTCGTCTCCATCTAATACATTCATTTCAGTAAAATCAGCTCCTCCTGAAATATTGGTTTAAATATGAATATATACTAATTGTAGGTCCTAATTGTAATTAATACAGTGTTTTGCAGGTGTTTCGTGTGTTTGTTACAAAACAAGGTACTAGAAAATGGCCATTTTTTTTTTTGCTAATTTACTCAAAACAATGTCTTACAATTAAATGAAGAAAGAATATAGATGATAAGAAGAGTTCTAAGTGATCACTAAGACACTTAAACCCATATTTAAGTTTAATTTGCATCAGCGATTTCCCAGTGGATACCATTTGACATAAAATTTGAAACAATTCATGTAGGCTATACACTGTCAGAGAGACAGTTGGGAGATCTACAAATCGGACTATCTTTGATATATATATATGATAAGAAAGTGTGCGCTTTATATTAGATTTGTGGTTCTGAAACGGTGGAGCGCAGACAATTTTTTTGCATGGCTGTGAAGCTAATAAAAATATTCGTTGGATTTGATCTCGCCCGGCTTATTTTGGATATATACATTTCTTTATTTTGGATATTTACGTTCCATCCACATATATTCAATGTGTAGTTTGAATAAAACATACTTTCGCCTAACTATCTGTTATTTGTAGCTTATTGTTAGCTAGTTATTTTTGAAGTGGGCATGAGACTTGATGAATTCTAAAAAAGGGGGCGCGGCTTAAAAAGTTTGAGAACCGCTGTATTGAATCAGTATACCTATCATGATTTCTTTCAAAACTCAGCTAATTAATTGTTAAATAAAAGTACGATGACTGCTGAAATAAGTAACATATTCGATCCTTACCTACACCAACAATAATGATTGACATTGGAAGATAGGAAGCATTTACAATTGCATCTTTCGTATCAACAAAATCAGATATAACGCCATCCGTTAATATTAAAAGAATGTAGTAATTCTGAATAGAAAGAACAGCTGTTAAGATACCAAAAAAGATAGAAAATGCTCTTTTTGTAATAAATTTGATAGACTGATTTAATTGATAGTATATGATTTATGATATGAAATCAATTTAATGTGGCATCAGGATTCAGGAAGTTATAACTTCTCATCACAATATTAATCATAGGAACAAAAACAAAGCTTCATTTACATTCAATTTACTGATATATGCATTTCATGGGCATATTCCTATACTTAGGCAAATGGTTATTAAGGTTGGCTGTAGGTGAATTATGGGATGCCAGAAAGTGTCCATCTTTAATGGTAGTTAAACGATATGAAATTTCTATATAAAATATTAGGTCGTAAAAAATGAATGCCCTGAATATTTTTTATTCCCATGGGATTTCATACATGGCATGATTCTACGACACACCAAGAATAAATGTAACAACTTGATAATAATGATAAGTTTCATTCATCTTCGAATCAATATATTCTTACTTTTGCAGTATTTTCTTGTGACGCAGTATAAGCAAACTTAGCAACATGATTAATAATAGGAGCAAAATTAGTAGGACCATAAAGCTGGACCTGGTATATACAATTCTGATATGCAGCTTCTAAACCAGGAACACCTGAATATAGAGGAAAGATTTAGTAAAGTTTTAGAAAAGTATAGGCCCTATTTTTATTTTTATTTTCCTTATTTTAGTTCTATTACAAGTTTGGGGACTGTCTGTATTAACCAAGTGAATATCCTCCTGCCCATAGTTTTCAGTCCCTTTACACAACTTGATGTAAAATAAGCGAATAAAATTCGTTACCTCCATATTGGTACACATACTTCTGGAGCGCCGAAAGATGTTATCAAAATCACTAAATTGGCTTATAAGTGAGGCAGAGTATAGTCTTTGGGATTATAAGACAAGAAATATCAGTTATCTTAACTATATTTCATATATTTATCCCAGTGATGTCTTGTAAACTTTAAAGATGGGTGTTTCCATATAATTATTGGACTCTTACTTATTGTTTTAAAATATATATAATTGATTAAACTTATTCATGTCTGCATAGTACACCTCATAGCCTATTACACCCAATGCTGAACCAGAATAATTTCAGTCCTTCCCATAAATTGTAGCCCCTTACATATCGTTAGATAACAGTTGTTGCTCGTACAGGACCTTATATAAAATGAATGGTGGCAACAGTAGGCTACTTTTTCCACATCAGAATTCAATTGTGACTTCATTTTCATAATTAAATTTTTTGAAACAATGTGCCTGAAGCAAAGTCATACAACTTATTCGGAAGAGGCAATAAATTCGCCTTGGAGCAAAGTCACAAGCAACCAATAAATCAAACCATGCATGACTAAGGTGGTGTATTATGTGTCAGTAAACGGCACTAGATCCTGAGAGATTGGGAGAATCATTAGGTATAGTTCATATGACTTTGGCATGATAAAAAATTGTAAGAAAATACTTTTGATGTCAATTTGATATAAATTTCAATTTTTTTACTGTGCTTGATATCTTAGTCTAAACATGCATGAAAACTATTTTTTGCTACTTACCAGCACAAAATGGATTCTGCCAGTTGAAAGTTAAAGGAAATTCATGAGATACTTGATATTGTGGCGGAATACGGGCGCCAAATCCAAGTCCGGGAAATAATTTGTCTGTGTCATAATCTTGACAAACCTTTGAATATACGAAAATAGACTTAAGATAATGAAGATATTTATTATGTGCTACACAAGATCTTATATATAATATTCATTTTGGCTGTGTAGGATTTTAAATTGGGATTTATGTTTATCGGGAAGAGGCAGATTTAAAGTAATTTTGAGTATGAAAAATAAAATTTTACTACAAAATTGGAAATCTTTATTCTTTAGATATCGCTTTTTGAAATAAATATTAATTTTAAACATTGTTTTTCCACCACAAAATGACCCGATTGTTTGAAACGGTTACTAATATGATTGATAATTTGTTTCCGCGGAAACAAAGAAAAAATGATAATTAATCTAAAAACAAAAGCCTAATTAAAATTGATGTACTGACTTGTCCCACTGATCTTAAAGCTTTCACATATTCATTAGGAACAGATGGATTCATAAAATGCAATGATTGTGGTGTTCGAGGATCGCCATTCGACGCCGTGAAATCAATAGCAACCTATAATAACAAGAAGCAAATATTAAAAATTTACGAATTGAGAATATACAAGAAATGATTAGCTTTCAACTATGTATCAGTACTTTTGAATGTTTGCGAATGGTTTGTTACAATTTACAACATGGGTGAAAAAACCCCAAAAGTCACCTCTGTATACATCTGACATGGTCTGACTACGACCCGGGGGCCACATTCGACCTCTTAGGAATCAATCTGGCTCGCCTGATGCTGTCACAACCAAACGAAAACCAAAATTTGATGTTTCAGCTAAAAAATAAATCTAGGAATTTGTTAAGATTGCAATTAAATTTAGTTTTGGAACGAGGCTTATTGTTTTCCACTTTTGCTTTTGTAACACATAAATATCGTTCATTAAATGTAACTTTTTACGTGCCACTTACATGACCCACTAGTCTAGGTGGGCAAAATTTCTGCCCCCTGATCCAAAAACCTTGCCAACCCCTGGTCTTCAGTCTGATAGAACAGTGGTCGGCAACCACCGGGCCGCGGCCCATCGCCGGTCCGCAGAGAGGTGACACAAAACGAACAAGGCCGTAATATAACCTCTACAATATAACCATAAACCCTACAACTAAAAAACAGCACCCGACAGTAAACCAGACAAACACAACACCAGGGGTCGGCAAACTGCGGGCCAAATGCGTCCCACGTACTAATTTGTTGCGGCCCTCGAACGACCCGACATTTAATACATAAAACAAAAACTGATTCCAAATTTATTATCGCCTCTACACGGATTTATGTGGTGACAAGTGCTGCTGTACGGCGCTTGTTATGATACAAGTAGCGTCAGTTGTATGTCGTTCGAGTTAATTTTAATTTTTAAAATTTGAAAATGAGGCTCGAGCATTTCAAAGTGGTTGAACGATTAAATATTTTTCTTTCTTGCGCATTCCAAAACCGGTTTGCTCTATATGCCCAGTCAGTATCGCAGTTGTTAAGGGTTTCAATGTTGAACTCGTTACGAAACTAGTCGTCGAAAACCCGGGACTAGGTAATCTGTGCGACAGTGCAAAACGTGTAATTTGCACGCTCGGAAGAACATATGGCCTTGAGCAGCTTTATCTGAAATGCATTCCACTTAGATTAAATATCGTACTCGCCTGTCAGATCATCATTTGGACGACAAGTTGTTATAAAAACATCATCTTTCAGTAAGTAAATAAAGTTAAGTAAATAAAAACAATGTATTGTTGGATAATATATTGAAAAAAACGACACATACACATCTCATTGGGACAGGCTTTCAACAGAGCAAGGGCAGTAATGCGAATGCGTCAGAATTTGAAATTTAATTAATGCAATGTTGCGGCCCGCGCGCTACCGGAAATGTATATATTTGGTCCGCAAGCTGTCATGGCCAATACCGAATAGTTCACTATTTCGAATACATTCGAAATTATTTTTTTCGAATATGAAATTTCGAATACTTCGAAAATAAAATCCACTAATTGAAGCTTATCTAAATGTATGTAGGAATTTCCATACATAAGCAATGGAATAACTGCTATCTACAAGTTACAACCTAGTTATATTACCAGGCATTTCATATTTGCAGATTATTGCAGTATATATTTTATATACCTTGAGTCATGTTAACAGAATTAAATTAATACGGCAATAGTGGTTTCGGTGATGGATTTGAATATTTGCGCAACACAAAATCATCCTAGTAAAACGCCCATACTTTTAAATATCAACCATTATCCAAATTATTTGCCAAAAAGCGGGATAAAGTATGAGTTATTTTTCCGACTTTTCTAAGTCCACAGATTGCCGTTGTATTTTGTAAATACAAAAATAGGAATCAAAAATTAATATTAATCGCGAGTTTGCCACACAATTTATGTCAACAGATTGCCGTGATATTGTGCCTTATATAATTAGTTTTTGATTCTTATTTTCGCACTCACGAAAATATTGTCAGAAGTCGGAGAAAGAATTTATACTTTATCCCGCTTTTTGGGAACTAATTTGGATAGTGGTTGCCATTGATTTGTATTTAAAAGTATGGACTTTTTGCTAGGATGATTTTGTGCTGCGTAAAATATTCGAATCCATGACTGATACCACTATTTAAAATGCCTTACCGTGTTAATTTAGTTCTATAATCATAACTCAAATGTTGGTAAATCGGGCAGTTTACCACACATTTTAAGGCCACAGATCGCCGTTGCATTTTAGAATTATAATAGTTTTATTATTTTGTAAATACGAATCCAAAATTAAATATAATTGGGCAGTTTACCACGTATTTCATGTCCACAAATACCCGTGGTATTTGGTATTAATACTTTCATTATTTTCTCAATATGAAAATAGGAATCAATATTTAATAATATCGGTCAGTTTACCACGCATTTTATGTCCACAGATTGTCCATACAACAATGAGTTACGTTGAATGGAATTAAATTAATACGACATGACATTTTAAATGCTGGTACCAGTCAAGGATTGGATTATTTTGCGCAACAAAAAATCATCCTGGTAAAGGATCGATACTTTTAACTATCGTTATCAAAATTATTTGCCAGAAATTATTTTCTAATAAATCAACTTGTTTTTCCAACTTGTGCCAATTTATTGGATATCGTAACAATGACGGCTATAAATACCGTATTTCCCGGCTAATAACTCCACATGGCAAATAGGACGATGTCTATTTTTAGCACTCAAAAAAGTTTTTTTTCCATATAGGCCTCCAATAAGACTGGTAGAAAAATGTGTCCCTGTGATATGCGCTAATAATTTTATATGTTTAGAACCAGATCATGTTAGTTTGGTAGAATCATACTCACAGAATTAACTATTTTAACAATTGTGCGGTAAATTTAAGTTGTAAAGCGGCAATCATTTTGGACAACCTATTAACCCGAATGTTAAAATAATTTTGGAATGTGATAAGTACTAAACTGTACGTCCACGGGTTATTTCACAGCTGTGTTTTCCTGTCCCTGTCGTGTTCTGCTGAATCGGCAAAACGAAAGGGTCACAAATCACTTTCACTCGGTGGCCATGTTTCTCTTTAAAGTAACGATAACCGGCCTGGGATTAAATATCATGATTGGCAGACCCTAAGACCCAAATATAAGGTTACACAAATCATGCTTGAGAAGACTAATAAGCAGGCCACATAGAAATAAAATAAACATACTTTCTCAATTAGACGCCCCCCCCCAAAAAAAATCAGGCCAAAAAATTGGGCCTAGAAAAGCGGTAATTGTCAATTTTTGGACGTGATGGAAATGAATTTGTAAATTAAAAGCCTCGTAGACGAATGTCGGCAATGTCCACCCACGCAAACGTGCAGATGTGTCGCAACACTATGCGACGTACGATCGCTCAGAATATAAACAATCAAAGTGCCGATTTTATTTCATCGTCATTACAATAAGTGAGACAGCGTAAAAAGTCGTTTGAAGATTCCCGTAAAACGAAACACCACGTTTACGGCGAAAAGTGGCTACTATTCGGAATTATTCGAAAATCAGCCGAAAAGGTATTCGAATACTATGATATTCGAATATATTCGAATATTCGATTCGTTTTGGACAACCCTGAACCGCAAGTACATGAAGTTTGCTGATAACTGCACAACACTATTGAGCAGTATGTCTGACTTCATAAACAACTGCCATGTCAGTATGTCGCAATATTGCTGGGTAAATTGTTTTCTCTACGCCCATATAAGAATGTCTCTCATCAGTCCGAATGAGATCTCCCCAACAAAATGATACAGGCATTGTTAACTTTCTCGAAATCTTACTAATGTGAGGCCTGGTTTTCAATATTGATTACTACAAAAACGAAATATCAAAGTGTAAGAAACCCGTTTCGTGTGTCAATGTCGACCATATCTCGAATATGGAAACAGTTAATAGTCATCAAACAAATACAGATATCGGATTAAATAGCATCACCGTCGTTTTTAGTATATTGTCAACATAAATTTCCTAATGCATATAACTTATTGCATAGGCTTAGTTCATTTGTATAAAGGTGGTCCGCCAAAAATTTGGTCAGACTTTACCGGTCCGTCACTTGAAAAAGGTTGCCGACCACTGTGATAGAACATTAATTGAAAAAGATATTGGAATAACAGTCTGAATACAGCATATTCTTTTTTTAAAGCTAAATACCAAACTACAAATTAGGTGCTAACTTTGAAAGAAAGAATAGCAAAAATCATGATGATAATGTTTTTCTTATACTGCTACTGTAAATATTAATCATTTCTTACTGTAAAATTTATTTCACATCCACCCATAATGTAATCCAGAAAGGTATATTCAGTTTCCACCTGAAACAGTAAAAAATAGGTTAGTCTGGGATATAAATTGGGTTAACACAATTCACTTGACCTATTTGGTTAAATCTTTGTAATGGTTGAAAATTGAAACTAAACAACAAAAACTTGTTGGGAGCACTGGACCATGGCAACTTACACCAATGAGAAACAAACTGTTTTGAAAATGATAAATTGAGTTGATTCAATAACAATCGACATTATTCAATAAAAATAATGCTTCAAACTTTGGGAACACTATTTTTTTCGGTATGTAAATTCTTTAGAACTTTCTGCATTAAGGTTCCAAAGGATAGTTAAAGGGTGTTTCAAAAACTTTATACAAACCTTACAAGACATGAGTCCGATGATGCCAGAATTCTTATACTTTCCCCCTTTCTTTTGCTTTTTCTTTGCATTGATACATTCCCATTCAACCTGACAAAAAAATTTATATTGTAGAAAACAATCGCAACAGTTGTGCTGAACATTGAGAATTTTTGAATAAAAATGGGTAGGTGTTTGATCATCTATTCTTTATTTGGAGTGAATGTATGAAACATATCATAAATAATACAAGATTAGGCTTACCGTACTACTTGATGATTCTAAAAACCTTCGAAAATTTGTTTCAAATTGACCAATAAAATCAGATGAACCATCACTATCCCAATCCCACACTTTCATCTAAAATAAAATGAGAAGTAAATCAAAAAATTTTTACTCCTAACAATGAAGCAACGATTATTCTCAACCGGGAAATGAAGGAATTTTGGCAGAGAAGAAATTGCTTAGTATTTGCCGTAGAATGAATAATTATATTCTTTAATATTACTATTATGCTTATTCATGCATGCATAAACTACCCCAACTGTACAAAAGCGTAAGTGCGACTCGCTCATAACACTAGCCAAGGATCAAGTAACGATTGCACAAAGAGAACAAATATAGTAGCTTTTAAGCGTAACGAGGGAGGAAATAATAAGATTTGAAAAATAGGAAAGGGAGTAATTTAATAATAAAAAGTTTGGGAATCACTACAATAAAGAATTCTGCCCATATAATATGCTAATTTTTTTTCAATAATAGAAAGAAGTTTTACGTCATTACTCTATATCAAGTGTAAGTGAAAGAAGCCCGTCAAATGCAAGGCATTAAACACAATTGTGGTATTTAACAGAATACAAAACAAAGAATAGATCAATAACATCTGTAAATGACTTTGACCCGTCTGTAACACTGAGCTTAACAGTGTGTATCATCGCTTCGTTTCTGTAATAAAAGAATCATGTCACTTGTATGGCCTATTTATTTACATGTCTTAAAATTATTTACTACATAATTTACCAGAATAAATAGTGTTTACACAAAAGCAAAAGAGTTTCCCTCAACATATATATCTCTTGTTATACGGAACTGTGAAACCATTGAAAACAAGAGAGCAAAGCTCAAATATATGGACACGTTAATCAGAGAGAAGCAGTCCTTACATTTAACGCTACCGGTACCTACGGCGCTGTACGCCATTCTCCGTTAGGAAAACAAGAACTTCGTTACACACCCCCGGCGTTTGATGAGCACGTGATCATAAGAACAAGAAGAAGAGTGCCAGCATAAAAGCGCCTTTTTAGGTTTTCCACTAGGTGTTCAAATAAAAGTAAAACGATCCATAGGTTCAATCCTTGACCAATATTTAAAAATATAAGTAATAGCCTTCTGGCAAAAACATCAATCTTTAACCACTGAAAATTTCAAAGCATTTGGTCCAGTAATCAAAGAGAAAGGCGTCTTTTTCATAACGTGTCAAAGAACGAGAACAACAACAACATAATATTGAAACGATCCATAGGTCCACTAACGTGTCCAAAAACGAGGTATTATATAATCATCGGCGACGAGATGCTAAAGATACTCGTAAATGAAAGAGTGAATCTGCAAGCAACCTAAATCTAGATTTTAGAGCGGCAATATAAAATACTAAAAACTTAACAGAAACAAGTTATGATTCAGAAGGCTCATGACAGATTAAAAAAGCTGTTGTAGAAAATGGAAACTAAAAAATTTCTGCTGCCTACGGCACACATTTTATTTGCATGGCTTTCGTGGGCGTGATGTACGTTTGATCAATTCTAAAACTACCGATACCGATAATTAATGTAAAGTAAATTTAACCGATTTTTATGGTACTAAAATGAATTGTACTCGGTGTGCTTTCATTGCAGGCGTAGGGATTTTTTTGATGATAAAAGAGCTATGGTAATGTTGCAAGAACAGATCAGATTTGTTGGATTTCACAAAATCAAGACCAAAAATAATCTGGCACTTTACCTCACATTTTTAGGTCCGCGGAATGCGGTGGTATTTCAGAATTGTAATGCTTATATTTTGTCAAAGCAGTCGCGAGTTAAGATGAAAACATAAAGAAAGACATTTTGATGTGCCCGTATCAATACATTTTAAATACATCCGTATTTAAAAAATAGATATATATAGTATATTCCGGCAGCCGCAGGTATTTTAGAGCAGTAATTCCCAAGCTTTTAAGCTCGCAACAACTTTCAGTGCATTAAAATATTCCGCGAACCTTGTTCACGTTAAAAATGCTATGATGACAGCAAAGTCATATGAATCGCGATGTTAGGCCACCAAAGACAGGGTCCTAATTGTGCATTGTTACTCACTTTTCAGCATTAATGATAAAATTCCGGATTGTTATGCAAGCATTCTGTCACCCGATCCAATGTATTGATTGTCTCGAAATCGTGAGATTTATGTTTTAAACTAGTTTTAAAAAAAGGGCCTTGAATAAAAATTCCTTACAAAGTACAATAAATGTAGTACTTATTTAAATGTGTAATATAATACAATAAAAACGTGCAATTGACTCTACTCAGTCCGGCCCGCCACTGCATTTTAAATAATCAATGTGGCCCGATATCAAAAATAATTGCCCAGCCCTGATGTAGATCAATATCCATTACCAACAATAGATGACCTTTTTACATCTCTTGCAGGAGGACAAAAGTTTAGCAAAATAGATTTGAAACAAGTGTATTTACAAATGGAGGTTGAAGAAATTGTTGACAATTCATACTCACAAGGGATTGTATAGGTTTGATAGGCTTCCATTTGGCATAGCATCGCCCCGGCTATTTGGCAAAGAACAATTGAACAAATATTAAACGGGGTTCCAAGAATCAAATGACATGTTAACAACGGGTAATAATAACATTGAGCATTTGGACAATATTGAAAAACTTCTTATGCGTTTGCAACAATATAATCTCAAAGTGAATAAAAGTAAAACTGAATTTTTTGAAAACAGCGTTGAATTTTGTGGATACAAAGTGGATTGTAATGGGCTTCACAAAACGAAAGAAAAAATTAAAGCCATTCGTGACGCACCTAGGCCAGAAAATGTCAGTCAAGTGAGATCGTTTATTGGCATGGTTAATTACTATCAAAGATTTATTCCAAATTTGTCATCTGTTCTGTATCCTTTAAACTGTTTGCTCAGGGCTAATTGCAGATGGAAATGGACTAAATACTGCGAGTAACAAAACTCTGCGACCATTTAGCGTTAGTAAAACAGTCCTTGTTAGAGATTACCGTGGAAACTCTAAATGGAAACGTGGTGAAATAACAAAGAAAATAGGGCCACTGACTTATCTGGTCAGTGTCGCTCCTAATGTTAGTTGGAAGAGACATATCGTATCGACCAGATTATTAAATCTGACTTGAAGATCGAGCAAGAACATAGATATGAAGAGCAACTGGTTGAATCTGAAGATGATCATTTTGAACATGACAAGCCTGCAAGCGTGGAACCAGATGCAACAGACAGTGCAGTATCCAAAAGTCCAGTGCCGTCTCCAAACATCGAATCAGCGTCACCGAACTCTCCCATCGGTCGGATACCGGTAACTGACGAATCACAGTATCCGATACCAAAGTCGACTGCAGACATTGAACGACGTTACCCACTTCGACAGAGAAGGAGACCAGATAGATTTCAATTTTATTTTCATTGTAAAACTCTGGTTATTATATCATCAGTATATGATTGTCAGCGTTGCAACTTGCAACTTGTTACAATTCTTATTTTTAGGAGGGAGGTGATGTGGTGTATTTATTACGTCATAAATCGCATGACTACTCATGCGATTTACTTAGCACGTTTTGTCCTTGGCCGAAGTTTCCGGCCAGTCGATGGTTTGAGTTGGTCAATAAAGGGTGTTGCTACAACATCTATACTTGTGTATTTCTTGCATACAAAAGGGGATTAAGAACACAACACATATTTCAAGGGAGTATTAGGCAACATTTCCGAAAGAAACTTTCCATAATAAACCTTTGCTGTTAAACTATTAACGAGCATACTGTACCTGTAATTTTGAGTCATAATTTCCACCACATAATGTAAGCAATGAAATTTTGAATGGTTTCCAGACAGGATTTAATGTATTTTTAATAATTTCACTTCTGTGTGCTAGCAACCATCTCCCATCTGATGCTTGTCGAAATATCTCCAAATAAGGATCTGATTTACCAAAAAAATCCTGAAAAAAATATATAGTTATAGCGATAATGTATATAACCCACAAAAGTATTGTATTCAGCATTTCAAATTGGATGTTATAGGAATGGTACCGGTAATTGCTTGATCAATTTAATGAAAATATTTTGCATACCTAAACCAGCGGTTCTCAAACGGTGGGCCATAGACAATTTTTTGAGGGGGCGCGAAGCTAATTAAAAGTAAAAATATTTCTAAGATTTGATCTTGCCCGCATTATTTCGGATATTTACATTTCTTTATTGTTTAGACTTAGAGATTGCAGAGAGCTATTGTGCTTGTATCTTTATTATCCTCAGCGTGGAGAATGTTTGACCTCATGATGTTACCAATTCTAGAACATACTTTCAACTTACTATCTGTTATTAGTAGCTTAGTGTTAGCTATTTATTTTTGAGGTGGGGCACGAGACTTGACAAATTCAAAAATGGGGGCCAGGCTTAAAAAATTTGAGAAAACTGCCCTAAACTAAAAGAAACCACGATCAAATATTAATAAGTTACTTATTATAGCTAGAAAAGCACACTAAAATGACACTAAGACTAATCAACGAAGCAATATAAATATTCTCAGAGAATAATTCAAAAAAATTAATAGCACAAAGAGAATGTACATATATATAACCAAACAATTCTGTTACAAAATACACAGAAGCACTTCAAAAAATTAGTACTACCGTAACTAATTAAACATTACCTTCTTATCTAAATGGGTTCCTTTGAATTGCAGAAAAACCACTTCATTACTCCCACTCAATTCTTCTGCTGAAATCTTAACAAAAACGAAAGTTGTAGCATTGTTAAGTGTCCGTAAATGTTTTTGTTTGACAAATATTAATGTCAAAATGCATAATCAAATCAATACTTACTGTGATTGTCCCTTTACCAGCCTGTCTCCCATTTTTGAGGACAAGCGGCTGTGTGACCAACTGTCTTGATACAATCTATTAAAATGGAATGAATAAATAACAAACTTTGACTAAGTTCAATAACCTATACTACAAAAAATATTATCGAAATTTTTTTTCTTTTTTTGATGAAACAAGGTGTATTTAAATAAATAACAATGTGGAAAATGTGATAAATATATCATGCTCAAAAGTAAATAATCTAATTTGATCACTCCATATTTACTATTTAGTGAAATATGTCACATTGAGGTATTGCATCATTGTATTTTACTTATAGCTTATGTCATGTGACAAACATTCTGAATAGCTCAAAAACATTTAGTACCAGTTATTTATAGAATATTTTCATTCATCTTTAATTAATAAAGTAATGTAAAGTAAAAATTACTTAAATGTTATTATTACAGAATAACTCAATTTGAAAACAAAGTTACAGCTTAAGTGACTGTGTTTGAAATGTAGAAATCAGGTATTATATTCCAATAGGATACTTTACATCAGGGGTGTGCAACATGCGGCCCGCGGGCCAAATGCGTCCCACAAGGAAAAATTGTGCGACCTGCAGTCAAGTGCCAGTTTGAAATGGTGTGCGGCCAACGTAACGTTTTTAATTCAATTATATCTAGAAAGTGAGATTAATTCCAATTCCTTTACATTGCAAAGCCTGTACTACGACGTGACAATGCCCTAACAGATAGCTTGTGCGAAGCGAACAACGCATGCCATGAAATCATCAACCCAAATACTTGTGTCTGCAACTAGTAGTAATGTTGAATAAAATAAAGATGCGGCCCGTAATTTTACCTAGTTATTTGTATCTGGCCCTCATGTATTAAATAAAGGTTGCACACCCCTGCTTCAAGGGACGGCAAAAATGGAATAATACAGTATCCCGAATACAATCTGAAATGATATTTTGAAACATGTTTTAAAAAGGTCATTTTCAATTGAGAAGTTTGCAGAAATCTTGTAAACAACAAACAGAAATTGAATTTGTTATTACAGTTATTTTTTAAATTTTTTACAATTCTACTGGTTAAGTGAAATGTAATTTTGTCTGACTATCAGATGTACAATAATTAAAATGACCAATTTTGAAATAATAATTCTATAATATGTGAAAATGTGACGTACTATATTGGATGAAACCATTTATGTATGTATTTGAATATTTAATTATTTCTGGGCTTCGCTGAGTGCTCATTAGATGAATAAGTATATAATAAGTCAATAATCAATAACCTACATGTCCCAATGTACATTCCATGGAACCGAGAAAGTCATCATCTGCAAGACTTTGTGTAGCATTGTCGATGTCATAAACACAAAATTTCAGTTTTTGAACCTCTTCAAAATAATAATCAACAACAAATGTTTTCGTAAATTGAGGATTTAAATTGTTCATCACTTTCTCTGTTCGACTATGCTGTAAAAAAATTAAATTCATAAATAGAAGTAAGAAGAAGTAATTGGAAAATAGTCAATTACCAATGCTGCATATATATTAAACGTTAGAAGATTGCTTTATAGTAATTTAGGACTGGCCAGAATATTCATATTCAAACAGAAAAGTGACAATGCTGCCAAGTCACGCCTCATCAATGTTTAAATTCTGAAATTAGAATTCATTAAAATCTTACCTCGCTCCACCTTCCATTTTGTAAGATATACAATGCACAAAGCGGATCAGATTTTGACAATATATCTTTGTCTAGCAAATGATTGCAAGAAATTCTCAATTCCACTTTTGATTTACATGTTGTAGGTGGTGGTGGTGCACCAATTCCTGGCTGCTGCATTTTCTGATGCTTGACAAATTCCCAGATAAGTTAGGCTTAATAATAACAATTACTGAATTAAGTTCAATAAATGATATTCCCAATTTAAGATATTTCAATATACTGATATAAGAATATCTGATAAAGACTAGATAGATAGATAGATAGTTTATTTCGAAAACTCCATAACAAACCTAAATTTGAAATGGAGAATTCTGGAGGGCAAGCAAAACCTGCAAAAAAGTTTAAAAACATGAAGTATCTCATGTGCCTGCCCACCAGCACGCACACAAAAACACAAGCCCAATTAAATGAAGCTTGGGCCAAACTTAAAAAACAAAATACACGATAGTAATAAACTTTCGGGCTGTTGTACTCTCTTTCAACAATTACGTTGATAATGACCAATACCTACAACCTCATGCAAAGATAATGTGGGGAGTGGAATGTAATAAATTTGCGACGATAGTCATACTCATGAAGCCATGAAAGCTTTGGGAAAAACCAAGCCACGAAAAACTACACTGATTGCTAGATTGGGCATTGCGGAAAAGGTGATAAGTGGTTTCATATACAAACAAACGCAAAACCATGGCGGCAAATTCGGTGTGCGGACACTCATAAAAGCAATTATTAGGAAAAACACTAATCACACGTGAGCAGGTCTGTAGCCTAATTGATACATTACAGCATTAAATTTTTCTCAAACTAAGCATGTGCAGATGTGAGTCAGTGTTATACTGGTGTTTTAGGTACTTCTATTTTTGACCATTTTACATTTCCAGTCTGTTGCTGTTGTAGCGTACTGCATATACTGATATAACTTATGACCTTGTATTGCAGTATTGGTCACAGGATTCAGGGATTACGGTACCGTTACTGTACAGGATTAAGCAGTCTCACTGTCTTATATGTTATAACGCAGTCATGTCTGCATGTACCATCGTCTTTCAGCTCACACAGTCACAAGCTTCAAATACGGTACACATTTTACCATGTACATTCGCTTCACTGATGTCGAAGAAAGCGGTCACCGTTTTTGTTTACTATCGAAAGTCAGCAATGAGAAGATGGGCGTCACGCACGTAATGGACAACAAAACACACGTGATCAAACGTCAGTTCAAAGTCACGCGTCTAAATTGTGACGTCGCGACGCACGTGATGTTATTATATCATCAAAATGGATAGGGATAGGGTTTACATATTTATCCCGGGGGAGAGGAGAGCCGATAAGACGGCTTATCCATATGGCGAACCACGGCCTCTCGTCCGGTTACCATTCCAAGTCGGGTATGGGATTAGTTTTTACTGTATTGTTTGTTTTCGGAAGCATGGACTTAGTGGTGGAGGAAGCCGTAACCGACCAGCGGTTACGTGAACCACCCAACGACGGCGAGGAGTCCAGCAATCCTCTCGCACATAACCATCCCTGCATGGGATTCGAACCTGCGAACCCACGCAGAGTGATTAGAGATGCGGTGGCGAGCGTATTCCTAACGCTTAGCCCGTTGAGCCACACCGCCGCGCCAAAATGCAACGTATCACAAAGGACTTTTTTGAGAATTATTATTTGCCAGTGGCGGCGCGTGGTCATTTTGACAACCGGGGCAAGATGTATGCCATTATCTTAGTCATTAACATCACACTAACCCTTACACATTTGCATGCTATACACAGCATAAATTCGACCAAGGATAAAAACTTTGTACACAGGACACAGCATATAGTACTACAGCAAGTTAAAATGTAGGGGGGAATCCAAATATACCTCGACTGGTCACCTAATTACAATATTAGGTACAGTAGTTAAATTATACCGTCTACAACCCTCACAAAGAATCACACCACCCAAACAGAAAACAAAGTTCACGCATGTGGAATATCAGTAGTCAGTACTATTGCAGTAATGTAGGTTTTCTTGCAAATTTAGCCTACCGTATTTGTTAATTTTGATAAGAGCAAATTGAATTGAGTTTTTATATGCCAGAGAAGAACCGTTCCACGATCGAATAGCAGGCCTACATACAGCAACAAGTAGGCTACTGCAGTACTGGTAAGGTACCGTACGGTACCGCAGTGAATTACGCTCTCATCTTTTTGTTACAGTTCTGATGTAAACAACATAAATTTTGTAGCCTACCTTATTTTTTTTATTTGATCAGGAAGAATGAGGAATCAGATTCAGTTAATTTATTTTCGTCGTGCATGAAACATTGTAACAGGAATGAAATGAGTTCTTATATGACAAGGAAGAACCGCGGCGCGGCGGTGTGGCTCAACGGGCTAAGCGATAGGAATACGCTCGCCACCGCACCTCTAATCACTCTGCATGGGTTCGAATCCCATGCAGGGATGATTATGTGCGAGAGGATTGCTGGACTCCTCGCCGCCGTTGGGTGGTTCACGTAACCGCTGGTCGGTTACGGCTTCCTCTACCACCAAGTCCATGCTTCCGAAAACAAACAATATATAACTAATCCCATACCCGACTTGGAATGGTAACCGGACGACGTGGTTCGCCATATGGATAAGCCGTCTTATCGGCTTTCCTCTCCCCCGGGATAAATATGTAAATCCTATCCTATCCCTATCCTAACCGGTCTGCGAATGAATTTCAGGTACTGATAAGTAACCGTACCGCATATTATCGGGGAAATCGATATATTTTTCAATTTTGCCCTGGTACCGTAATGGATAAGTGACTTGGATCACTTGGTATTTCAATTCACGTTGGAATTGGAAGTGGAACAAAACAGGCTTTTGATGGCCGGAGTAGGCTACCTGTCAATCAAGTCATCGATCTAGTCACACTAGAGTGATTTTGGCGTTTAGAGGCCGTTAATCTCCGTTCTCGGAGCGGGATAGCTTTCGCCCGGATAATGGGAATTTTTCATGTGGCATTGGGGATGGGGGCAGTGCCTCCGCCCCTCAGTGGTAAAAAACGTGTGGAAAGCCACGCCCACTTGTTACCCAATTCTAAAAAGTCGTTTTTCTCTTCAATTACTGGACCAATTGCTCTGAAATTTTCAGTGCTTAAAGATAAAAATTTTCTTTAAACGGCTATTACTTTCATTTACTCCAAACGTGTCCATATATTTTAGCATAGCTCCCATGTTCAGAGAAATAAAAATTTTGCATCGTTGTGGACAAGTTTGGGAGAGAAAGAGAGAGATTTTATTTTAACAAACAATAAAAAATATCAATATCGATAATGTTGATAGAAATAGCCTATTCAAGCCTGTTTTGTGTTTGCCAGTATGCAAGACCGTTGAAAGTCATCGAGGCTCCTGACCAAAGTAATACAGACCAGCGAATCACCTATTGCCAAAGTAGCGTACCTTTTCCATGTTCTGATATTTTGACACCGCGGCACGGGTGAGCAGAAAGAAACAACACAAGACTAATGTCCATGCTGCTTCTAACTTTGCATTCCACCACTGAATTCTATTCCTGTCCGTTTTAGTACTTGCATATCTCGACTGCGGAAAGACTCAGGTGAAGTGAACACACAAAAATCTCTTTCGCTCCTGGTAGGAGGAGAGAGAGAGTTCATTTCATTCAACAACAACAACATTTTGTCAAACCAAGAAAACAATATAAATACAAATATGTATATCAAATAAACAGATGTTTTCGGTACATTACTGGGAGACAACGATACGACCTTTAGGGGTCATCAGAGTCAGTTGCCACACCTAAGTAGTATTTGATAACGAAATGGACAGGTGTCAAATTCATCATAGAAATTGCCACCAAGACGCCCCAGAGAAAATAATACCATACTTCTTTCGCCATTGATTCCTGCCACTTTGGCGCAGTCAAGTACATGCAATTGGAAATAATGTCTCAACGACTCGGTTTTTCTCTGCCCCCACCAAGAGATTCAACTGAACTATGATGATGTCATTGTGAGAATTAGCTATTGTCATCCGGATTTTATTTAATTAATGCGAATGATTATAGGCCTATTTGGTTGTAAGTTTAAAATCACATATATACCATGTTTCCCCGAAAATAGAACCGGGTCTTATTTCAATTTTCCTCCGAAAAATGCCACTAGGTCTTATTTTCGGGGGATGTCTTATATTTTCATTTATCAAAAACAGAATTACAAAGAAGGGAATTACGAGATTTTCAAATACACAAAATATGAAAACCGATACATATTTACCTATAAATAACACGTTTTTATTCAAATAACTGCAAAACAAAGATTATATATATATATATCAATCATTTAAAACGTGTAGGAGAGATTTCTTGCTATTGACTAGAACTAGGTCAAAAAATAATTTCGCTTTATTAACTAGGTCTTATTTGAAGTGAAGGGCTTATATTAACATCATTTTTAAATTTTAAGGCTAGGTCTTATTTTCGGGGAAACACGGCAGATAGACACACAATTTGTAAAAGGTTACACAAAAAATTATCGTTAATCACGTTCATATTCTTGATTATGGTATTTCAAAACCTATGTTGTTTGTTAATTGGATCATAGGTGATGGATGCTCGAGGGTCACATTGGAGTGCTCCGCGACCCGCATGCGCCCGCAAGCTGCGAGATTGACAACCCTGGTAAATCTAGTGTGGTATAACCTGTGTCGGGCTGTATAACTGTAGAATTTTTGAAAAATAATTTAACACAGACACACTAGTTTTTGTTTGCTTTTGAGAAAATTTGACAGTAAAAGATGTTGCCGCCCGATCGGATATTTTTATATTAAATTCAGAAATTGAATTTTGTTGTCGTCAACAAGACTAACTCACCGGCGAATTTGTTATTCATCTGAAAATGCCATGGTTAGAAATTGGACACCAACACCACTCAAATCAAATGAATTGTTGCGCACATCGAGGGCAATACCACTATCGCAAAATTAATGTTTCCGATAAAAACAAATAAAGCAATTGAATAATTTTTGAAAAGTTTATTTGGAATATTCAGTCATTTTAGATATATAATCGATGTAATCAAAATCAAATTTGACAGAAATGATCATAATAATAGTTAATACCAACGCAAATTAAAATACTGTGATTTAAATGAATAACAGAAACTAGTTTAATTGTCTTTCGCACAAATATGCATATGAATGATCGCACGGAGAGTCATTCATTTTCCACCCAATTCCTTGTGCTAACGTTCCACAATCTTCATTCCCGCCGTAATCATTGGGCTCACCACCAATCAGTAGATTGAGGGTTTGCAATCACATCATCTGCCCAGATAAACTGACCTTCGGTTTCAATATCATCCACACCAATCCATACCTGTTCATCACTTTTCAAGTTTTTCAGTAATATCTTTATTAGATCCCTGTAAAATGAACAACGCTTCAATAGTTTCGGAATATCAACGAAAATGAATGATGATGAATATTTTCTATCCTAGTTTTTACTTATGGGCACTGATTTTCGAATATTACAGTTTTTCTTCCGTGCCGTAGATCTAGTTATGTGATCCTTATTCACTGTTTTCAGGCGTTGCCATTGGTTTTATCTGTCGTTAAAATTTTCACCCTCACCTTCGAACTTTAGAATCCCGCAATCCTACAGAGGCAAGATTTGCGCTAAATTTCTGACAGTTTGTCTTAGCTTTTTCGTAATCTAGACGATCTTCAAAAAGTTTGTAATAGAAGCCGTTGCTTGCCAGGTACCAGGTAAATAAGAATGCTGTATTTGAATATCAATTAGCTTATATAGCCTTATACCAAGAAATAATAATATATTATATATATAATATAATTATAAATAACCACTGTTAGATTTTTCAAGCCTTCACAAGAAAGAACGTAAAATATTAAATCGATAAATGCACATTTTTTTTTCAAATTTTCCTACATTTAATCTTACCGCTAATATTCGCAGATTGCGGACGGACTCCGAACTCCGTCTTGATATACGCAGTGGTGTGTTAAATAGAAAATAATATACTGTGTTGGAGTCGTTTTAAAGCGTCCAAATATATTCTAATGAGTTTTTGTAATACCCGACTGAGTTGTATTTTGGAATAATCTAAAGCCCTTTAAATAAGCTCTAATGTTTAAAATTGCGGCTAATTTGACACACTTGTAAGTGAAAGTTGACCAAACTTGGAGAGAGTACATAAAATATTCAGTATTCAAAAGTAGGCAATTCATACTACATCACCTCTTGCTTTAGCATCAGCAACGTTTCGCTTGAGTTGAGCAATGACATCTAAAGTTGAAAATAAATGAATCTAATTTTAAATGCTATTCAGTGTGAAATAACGGAGAAGCCAATTATAAAGTTATGTCATCACCGATTACGACTTTCGTCGACAAATCGGCACCTTTATTGGATGGATAAGAACAGGCGTCTGATCTAAGTAAGGACCAAAACATCATTAGAGAGAACAGGGCAAACATTCAAATTAAAGTCCATTGTAATATTATTAACAAAGCAAGCGGAGTGAAGCCACATTTGGCCGACGGAGTAATTAATCTAGTCTGAAACTAGTTTATCTGTATGGAATTCTGTTAGAGTCGACACAAGCGCACCGGTTGCGTCCTCAAAATTCTGCCGTATCATTTATTTTCATAAATGCCGACGGTGGATGTATATGACCATAATGAAAAGGGATTTAACTTTCACAGTGAAGGGTGCAATGTCTTCATGTCATGGCCTATCTATATGTTTGAAGAATCCAAAGAAAAAATTTCGGTTATCGTGACCAACATATATATCAGCTTTGTGTTTGGAGGAATATATATAAACTCCCAGGCCGGAAACCAACAATTCTGATTATTTTTTCAAAGCCTTCGTGACTTGCAATTGGTTTTGGTCCACATTACCTGCCTAAAATCGAACCTACTCCTCATTTGCAGACCCATACGGGTATTGTATTCAAATGATGATCCGAACCATATATTTGTCTCTATTTCTGACTATTTCTTCAGAATCTTTAAATATCTTATTATATGATAATACTGTAATCCGCTTCATGTAAAAAATTCAGAAGCAATAAAGTTGAGTTTTATAAATGTAAGATATGACAACGTTAATATGTAAATACTTATTATACCAGAAGAGTCAGGATTTTGACAATCGCCTTCTAAGACGAAACGTCCGTTTCTCCACTTCCCCACACAAACACCATCTGTGTACAAATTTAGAATATTATTCACCTAATTAAGATGAGTAGATTTTTGTTCTATCATTATATCGATAGCATTGTCAATTGGCCAAATTTATATTTTTAGGTGTGTCGTAGGTTAAAGTTCCTCAGTTTACGTATTAAGTTGTCAATCTATATTTATTTACAAGAGATAACAAACTGCATAGCATACACCGGACTAATGGAACTATGTGAAAAACCCGGTTTCAACGCCCGGAAAATGAGCATGATCAAATTTGTTAAAACATCAACCGCGTTGACTCAACGATTCACAAGGTTTTTGACATGGAATAATCATTTTTTGGCCAGAAATGCGCAATCGAATCCATTAGTGAGTATCATATACAATAGATTCAAATTTAGATTCTGGTTTAAAACTTTTCTCACTTAAATAGAACGTAACGATCATTTAGATCAGGGTGGTCCAAAATTATTATTGCATTGTTCGCGGGCCACAATATTGCCAAACATAGGTAAACAGGGCAATACAAAACAAACACTTTTATTGTGCAAATACATTGATCATGATTTGACATGTCATCACGCGTAAACATAAAAAACATCAATAACATCACTAAAACGTGCAAAAATTTTTCTATATCTACATCAAGTGTAAGATTTCAAACTCATAACGGAAAAAGCGCTTCCGCAAATGTAACTGCTTTCGAACATCGATAGGATTCTCAAGCAAAATTCATTAAAATGTGGAACTCCTCATTGCTCACATGATTGAAAAATGCCGTTTTAGATTAATTTTTCCCTAATTGCTGATTGATTGATTACCAAATGTGAGGTACAGGAGAGTAATTACAAAGTTTTCTGGCATATGAATTATATTGACAGAACATAATATTAATATTTAGTTATCATAACTAGTTATTATATTGATAGCATATATCCCCACCAAAAACATAGAAGGGCAGTGAACAATTTGGACTAAGCAAGCACATTATTTGACTTCGCTAAAGTGATGTAACAAGTAGTCAGTGAATTTTTTGAGTATTTTTGTGGCGAGACAACACAAAATGCGATTTTTTGATTACACTTCAGTAAATGCGACGCGGGCCACAGAGAATGATGCTGCGGGTCACCGCCCTGGGTTTGGACCACCCTGATAAAAGGTCTCACTTGTTTAATTGTCCATATTTTCATACTGTGTGGAAGTATGTAATAACGACTGCATAATCTCATCGACTTGGTAGGGAAACAAATAAATATTTTCTTAGATAATCCTATAACAAGAGTTTCTTTCCATTTTTTTGAATGAGAAAGAATTAACGGGATAGAGTTCATTTGGGTCTTACCAAGGATCTGATATCCGTGAGTACGAGCGTCTTTTTATGATTAGAAAATAACTGAATAATAATATTGTTCATACCTCCTTTTGCCCTAGTTGCAGCAGAAGCCTTCAGAAGACAAATGATAGCGATAATTTTGACATTCATCCCTTGATCTTGATAACTCTTTTATCAAGCCTCGACTTTATTTAGCTAAATGAGACTCTTGTGCAAGTGAATGTCTATAAGCGTTCTAATCGATTCAAATTGATGAATAGACTACCAGACTACCAATATCACGCGGCATTTTTTAACTTCCGAGTTCGTGAACATTGCCTGATTCAAAATTTAGGTTAATGATCATTAAGTTTCAGGAAACGAGCGTTAAAAACTTTTGCCGTTTTGACCTGGTGGACCCTAGCATCAGATTTCTCACATTCTAATCATTGCGAATGAAAATTCAATGCGAAAATTAACCAGAGATCTAACCCGCTTTTGTTTGTTGTTATCGAATTTAAGCTCCACACTAATTCGTCCATCTTTGTATATCTGTATGGCCAAAGTTCTCAACTTTTATTCTCTCATTTACTTCTTCGCAAATTTCAAATTCATTAAATTTACCCCTTCCCCTCAAATATTTTTCATATCTCTACAAATACACCTATATTGACTAATTGAAGATGGAAAAGTGTTTAGAAAAAAGGAATTTCTACGTAGTATTGTGCAGATGTCTCACTTGATTGTGTCGAGTTCCCGTACCTACAGTTAAACCACGCTGCAATGCTGCTTCCTTCTTCATAGCGCGATGGCCTTGTACAGGGTCGTCCAACCCGTGGCCCGCAAAGAGTTCCGAGTGGCCCGCGCAGTATTTTTCGAAATTAAATAAACTAAACTTAACACGATGTCTCCCACAAATTAGACACTTCCCCAAAAAATTAAGTAAATCAATATTAAAAAAATAATACCTCGTAGTTCAAACGCGCGAGAGACACGACTAAATGAAAATTTTCGAGAAATTGCTTTCAATTTACTTTTGCTATAGTGAGCACTGATATCGACGATTTGTCCATTTCAGCCTGCTGTATTGAACCTCCCTTTACAACGAGCCGTGAATTTTATATAGGACAAGGTGTGTTTCGTGATTTTGGTTTGTTTGTTCCGGCCGATGTACATCCCAATATCGGTTCTCCTTATCACACATGTACCAAATTTGGCGCTCCCGCAGTATGTGCAACAAGATGGCGGACTATATTATATTCAGAATATCTTACTGAGATATTTTGTGTTAAATTTGCGTTACGCTGCTTGAACAGAAAGTAAATGGTTCACGTGAACGTCCCTGATTTTTCTAAACGATATCAATCTCCTATGACATATAATCATAAATATGTTTTAAAATATGATTCTTTGAAATCATGGTGTCATCTATGAACAATACATCAACAACTCAACGCAAACTAAGTGATAAAACTTTAATAAAATTTTTCTCATTTTCAAATATGGCGTGACAGTCATTTAGATCAGAGTGGTCCGAATTATTATTGCATTGTTCGCGGGCCACAATATTGCCAAACATATTTAAACAGGGCAATACAAAACAAACACTTTTATTGTGCAAATACATTGATCATCATTTGTCATGTATCAAGTTAAAACATGCAAAAAACACCAATAACATCACTTAAACGTGCAAAAGTTTTTCTGTATTTATATCAAGTGTCTCTTCAAAACGAAGAAAGTGCTTCCGCAAATGTAAGTGCTTTCGAACATCGATAGGATTCTCAGAGAGAAATTCATCAAATTTTAGAAATGCTCATTGCTCACATGCCGATTTAAATTTCATTTTGCCGTAACTGCAGATTGATTGATTACTAAATGTGATGTACAGGAGAGTAATTACTAATTTTTCTGGCATATGAGAAGCTTTTTTTGGAATACTGTTTAGGCTGGTTGCAAAAAATCACCAAAAGGAAATGTAAGGAATAATAAATAAAAGGAAATGATAGGCCATAACATTAATATTTAGTTAGTTATATTGATAGTATATAGCCCACCAAAAAGATAGGAAGCCAGTGAACAATCTGGACTAGGCAAGTACATTATTCGACTTCGCTAAGTGCCTCAGCTAGCCGTGACACTAGTGTCAATTCAGTGACATTAGTGATGTAACAAAATGTCAAAAAAATTTCTGGTTATTTTTATGGAGAAACAACAAAAAATGCGTTTTTGGTTACACTCCAACAAATGCGACACGGGCCACATATATCGGCCCGCTGGCCTGGGTTTAGACCATACTGATTTAGATTTAGACCTTCAAAGTTTGTACAAACAGAATAGGTCTCACTTGTTTAATTGTCAATATTTTCATACTGTGTGGAAATATGTATTAAAGACTGCATACTCTTATCGACTTAGTGGGGAAACAATTAAATATTTTCTTAAATAATCCTATATCAGTGGTTTCTTCCGAGAATAAACTCGAGTCTAAGCAAAGATATGATATCCGCGAGTATACGAGTGTCTTTTTATAAATAGAAAATAATAAAATATTAATATTGTTCATACCTTTTTTACCACAGTTGCAGCAGGAGCCTTTAGAAGAAAAATGAGAGCAATAATTTTACCATTCATTCCTTGATAACTCTTATCGTTCTAATCGTTAGATTCAAATTGATAACGAGACTTTTTCGCGGAAGTATCCGGCACATTTGCGTTGCGATTGATCACCGATTTTCAATCCGAATTTTGCTTGCGCACTCAATTTTATTTTATTCCCGCCCGCATTAATGGTTTGATCAGAGTACTAGTCAGTAGATTAAATAATTACCTATCATATCGTCTGTCCCACCAAACTGAACGTCTTTTTAAATATCCAATCCAACCTAAGCTATATTTATTTCAGGAGTGTATTTTGAAAATCAATATGAAGAGAAGATCATTGCAACTTTGTCTTTAATAGGCCAGAATACGTCTGAACACGGCATGAAACGTAATATACAAATTTCCCTGGTGTGACATAGGTCTATTTATGTGGTCTCGCATTAGATACTTGGCAAATATGTGATGTTTTCGTGTTTCGTTGTTGGTTTTATAGAGTCTTGAAAATGTTTATACAGCCACAAACTTATCGATGTCACGAACCCGTAGTGGCCCGATTTGCATCAAGTTTCTAATGATTCACGTTCGCATTTGCACCAAGATCGTCAAAAAAGTATGTGGGTAAATACATTTCTTGTCCGGTACTAGGTTTGCAGGACTTATGTATTCAAGATAAAACTCACAGCTCTCTCATATGCTAAGTTGGAACTACTTCTTTCAATGAGCTCTTTCAGTTCATACCAGCAGTTAGCAGCGCTACGGATCATGCCAATTTGTCTCAGTATTTAGTTAATTTTAATCGACAGTTCATATGTCTGAAATGAGTTGTGCGATAATCCGAAGCTAAATTAGATCCCATACTTGAAATTACGGATAAAGTTCAGCACTTCGGTCACTGTCTTGAAAATTAAACATACTTTTAAGTACAAGTTGACAAGCTTAGAAAGAAACATTTCACAATTTATTTATATTGGTTTACCTTCTTCATTTTGTTACATAATATTATAGTTTGATAATGACATTTGAATATACGAGGGACATTTTATGCATATATATATATATTTCAATCTATTCAAAGTAATGATTATGCTTAATATTGTGTATGCGATAACGAAATTGCCCAAACGTTGTTTCCCATTCGATTTTGCGTTGAATTATCAAATTTAGGTTGAGTCATCAGCGCATATGAATTTATTGCAAATAAGGTTACCCGGAAGATGCATCGATAACAAAATTAAATTTGCAAAGTTGAAGCCTATACCCTGTATATGTATAAGACCTGGCGTATAATCTATTAGTGGCGCAACTAAAAATTGTCATTTGTGTGAAACACACGACAGTTCAAATAAACAAAGCCACATCTAAATAATAGGTGGAGCTAGATTTCGTCAACAAAAAAAATTTGAGCCTCAAAGTCATGCCTCAATGAAGTGTTGGATAGGGATACCATATACAGAAGAGCAAAATTATAAACAATTTTACCTTGATTGAATAACAGAAGTTGAAAGAAAAGAAATTTCCATATTTTCTAGGGTACTAAGAGGGTTATTTCAAACTGTCAGCAAACTAGCTATTTTTATGTTTTGTAATGTAATTATGGGTAAAGCAAGGTATCAGTGTTATAAAAACAGTTATTGTGGAATAATGAGCTCATATAACATTATGAAAAGCTGTATTTAACCACAACTTCCATTGTATTGAATCTGAAAAGTTTTTTTTTAAATTGGACGGATAGTGGCATGTAGCCTTAAAAAGAAATAGACTTGGCTTTGTTTTAGTGTTAGGCGGAGGATAGAAGAGAGAGGAATTGAATTGGAAGTTGATTGGGACGATGAATACGATCCTCAAGTTGCTCAGCAATGAACAACCTGACAGATGCTACTGGCAATTAGGACGATGAAGCAAGCGAGGAACCAGTTGATGCTGTAAACAGAAATAAGCAGCAAAAAAATAAAATAAAATGGTATCGCTAGATAGAAAACTCTTTCAGCTTGTGTTTACTGTGTGGATAGACCTCCACTCGTCTAGAATAGATAGACCTCCATGTTTCATTGAAATCGGATTTGCATTTCCGAAGTACCGGAAGACGGGATTTCAGACTTTCAGTGATGATGAAAGAATTAAATATTTACTTGAACCCATTAATCATTATAACGGAGTTTTAAAGAGGGCTTGCATATATATACGCTAAAGTTTTAGAAGTCAAATTCTTTCACACATCGGCGTCTGAGCCAAAACATATTTCAATACGGAGTCGGTGTCGATTATAAATTTTCGTCGATTTCACAGTCTCATTTGCAATTTATAACATAAGGGAGCTGGTGCAGAAGTTGCGGAACAAATTAATCTTGGTTTTGATGCATCCGTGGTTGTGACTGAGACTAACCAAAATAAAATTACTAAATAATTGTTTCGATAATTACTTCGCCGGAATGTTTGTAGTAAGAAAATTAAAATCGAGAGGCAATCCTTCACCTGTAGTTTTTATGAACAGACGATTGATGGGATCGACTGAAATCTCGATAAAAGCTTATAAAAAATAGATTCAACCGATTACTAAGTGTCGGTAAAAGCAATATATATACATAAATATGTGTGTTATATGTTGGTTATAATGTTAGATAATGATGTTGTGACACTTGCTTCAAGTTTTCCCGAATTTTCCCAAGTCGCTGTGAAGCACCATGGCTAAAGCAAGCAAGTAAAGGCCAGTTTGAGTGATTTTTCACCTATAGATTTTGTACTGACAAGCTTGTGACTTAGAGTTAAAGGAACACCGCATTCGAGCGCTGAACTCATTTGAGTGCAGATGCGAGATTGTAGGCTACTTGCTTTTCTCAAAGCTAAAGATCTATCTCTTCACCACAATTCCAAACACAATGACAACTGTGATTTTTAGCCAAGGACGGAAATCCACTGAACGACATGAAGATATGATGATACATACTATAGGTTAAAAATGCAAAAAACTGTGGCTACAAAAAAAATGAAGCATAGTTAAATGCGGCAACTGTGCGACGCTTTCTTGTGCTTCAAAAAGGAGATTTGATTCTCGAAATTTCACTGCGAGTAAGGTTTTATATATATATATAGGCCTATACAAAAAAATCTACACATATTTTACGCTGGAATTTCTGATCAATGTTTAATATTTATCGATTCCACAATTTGTGTTTGAGCAATGCAATTTTAAAGCAATATTTCCATTTTTTTTTTGAGTATTTTCGGTTCTTCGATTTTTACAAATTTTAGCGCGTTTTGAAAACATTCGTACACATCGCCTAATTTGCAAATGGGAAGAAGCAAAAAATTTAATATTTGGTCTCAGATGATCAAAAATGAATCAAATTGTAATAAAAAATGTTCTTATATATATTTGCTTTAGCAGCATGGACTAAAGAATTCCAGTGGTATTCAACTTTTGTTTATCATGGAACCTTCGTTAGGCGCTTAGGTTTATCGTGGAATTCGCATAAATAAAAAATTCAAAAACGCGATTGAATTATATAAAAATCAAATAACACAATTACATTTGATCTACATTCCACACCATTCAATAAGTTATGAGAATATCGAATCACATAGGAAAACATATAAGCATATGCTCCTCTGGATCGTCTGACTTGACTAAATATATATATAAAACTTTTGCTTTATTCTCACAAAGCTGAAATTATTACTCTAACTTCTACTCACCCATTGAACGCTGGAGCCATAGTTCTTCACTACTGGTAAGTTCAGTCCAGAGATGTTTTTTATTCTTGTTATTTCCTAACTAAAAATCACATAATTGGTGCTGCGTTAAAATCCTGGCTTTTTTTACTTAAAATTAGAAAGGCATATCGCAAAAAGTTGTGAGATGGGAAAATATGCAGTTTGATTTTAAGTAATTAACGTTAGTCAACATATATATATATAACTCTATTACGGTAGTTAAACGGACCTGCCATAATTGCAGTACTTGAGCGGACGTCGTTCCTGTGTCCGTATCATTGTTTTTAAATACGTACTTGGAGAGCGCGAGAGCCGTTGACAACTACGGAGAAAAAGAGTCAACACAATCCTCTCGATAACAGATATAAAATTTTTGTCCGCTTAATTCGTCCACTTAATTCAGACCACCAAATGTTTTAGCCTATTTCGGCACTAAGCCGGACCCCTCTTATATGTCGCCCTGGATGTCTACATAAATGATGCTGCTTTTATTTTATTACGCATTCTAAATCGTATGACCTCGCTTCAATTTCCGATGGATGCGAACCATTTAGCATTATTTATCACAGAAAA